ATGCAACAGCCAGAACTCAGATACCTCTTGTATCATACTCATCCCGGGAGCGCTCTTGGACTTCAGATAGAATGTGATAACCCGCCTGATGACCTTCTCACCTCGCCTGCCCTTCTGCGTCTTTCCCGAGCTCCCCCTTCGCCTTTCCGGCCCCGCTGCCCTTGCCCCCCACTGTCAGATGCACTCTCAACCCCGCCGCCGCCGCCAGTAGATCCTCCAACTTGGCTAGCTTCTCGCACTCCTGCGCCAGGGCCACCGCCCGATCCTTTTGCCCACTTTCTGCCAGGCACCATGCGAGCGCGAGGAGATTGTGCGCTCGCCATTCTTCTTGCTTCACGCCTTGGTTTGCGGCCCACTCTAGTGATTTTGTGATGGACTCGAAGCAGGGGAGGAGGGTGGACCGAGCGCCGTCGCGGTTGAGGACGCGGAGGATGCGCCAGAGGTGGACACTGCCGTTGTACACCAGGAAGGCATGCCTGGATTTGAAGAAAAGATTCTTCTCAGAAATGAAGGGGAGCGGACAGTTGATACTGGGAGAGATGTTTGACAGTGTTTGGATTAGATAGACAAAAAGCCTCGTTTGCAAGGTGCGTGTAATGCTTGACCCTGTATACAGCTTTTTGCAACCAGGCTGCCAGTTTTAGATAGACAGGGAAGCTGAAAAGATAGTCGAAGTTAGTTGACGCAATATGGTTTCCAGACTTGACCAACTTATTTGTCTAACTTCAAACTTCCCTTTTTACTAAAACCGGCAGGCTGCTTGAAAAGAGCTGTATCTTTTTCAGTGGCAGAGGTCGGAGGTGACGCATACTTTGCGATGTTCTCTGTTGAAGAGCCTGTATTAGGAAGCATGCACACTACCGACTCTACGGTTCGATCTGAATACTTTGGAGCCCCTTGCGACTCAGGAGTGGCATTTGGCTTAAAGAATAACGTCTTCTCAGATGAGAAGTCGTTGCCTTTTCCAGGAAGCAGTGACTTATGCCCTCTGCTGAGCCGCCCACGTTCAACTTTCTAGGTTTGTTGGTCTAGGTTTGGTCAGTGTGGGCTGGAGAAGATATAGGGGGAATGGTGGTGCGGGCTGAGAAGAGAGCGGGAAAGAGCAGCCGTTGTGCCCAACTTTTGCACGGGTAACCTGTTGCAGTTTCAGGTCTACTTTGCAAGTATCCATTATTGCCAATGTTGGCGTTGCCTCAAGCTGAGGACTGCATTTTCTCAAGCACCGGACTGGCAGGTTTCCATAGAAGACGATAGCGCATACTGTATCCATCTGCAAGATTTTAGAGAAATGAAAGTGCGCATGTTTGTATAGTAAAAAGTGCAAACAACCCCACCTTGGCCCCAGCTCTTGTGCGAGCCGCACTCCTCTGAGCACCACCTCAGCCGCTGCAAGAATTGCTTCTCTTAGCTGCAGTCCTTTCAGCCCTTTGCACCTCGCTGCTGCCAACTGCCCTTGTGCAAAAAGCGCCCGGCCCAGAAACTGATCCCTCGCAGCAAAGTGCTCTTGTGGAGAACTAGTCTGGGCCACATTTTTCCCACCAGAGTTCTGGTTGACGTTCACTAATGGGGATGCTGAGTTGAGGGTGAAGTAAGAGGTCAAGCTCTCGCCGCACAAGGCCAGCAGATCAACCGCTGCTCCTCTCCCATTCTGCGCGAGGGCGGGGTCTGTTGGCAAAGTGGTGGTGCGAAGCGCAAGGGCTGCCTCTGCACATTTGACCAGAGTTTGTGTGGCAAAGCTGGGGCCACCAGCAACCCCTTCATTGGCTGGGGAGAAAGCCAGCTGTTTTACTTGTGCGTAGACTGCTTCGAGCTCGGCAGGGCTCTGATTCGCTACTGCTGCCTCGAGGGCTGCCACCACTTGCTGTGCCTGTACCATTTTGGCAGCCACTACTGCCACAGGAACTTTTCAAGGACGGTGAGCTGGGGCCATAAATGGTATACAGCTCATTCGAGCTCAATAATGAACACAACAGCGGTGCAACATTGGAGTGCAGGCTAACGATTAGAAGAGCAGCTCCCTTCGAAGCTTTTTCTTTCCTCATCGTAAAAAGTCCTAGCTAGATTCAGCGCCATTCCCTAATCACCTTCTTTTCTTCGATCGTCTCTTCTTGCTCAGCTTAAAACTTCTCTCCATGTAGCCTGCTCAGGCTGCTGCTCATCCAACGGTCGCACGTGGAGAAATCGATGGATCTACGGCTGCTGCGTTTTTAAACCGGTTCAAGGGTCTTGCAAGAACGCCAGCGTCAAGACTCAAGACCCCAAAGCGCGGCCGCGCCGCGAAGCGCCCGCACCTGAATGATGCATGCAGCATCTCTAGCTGAATGCATGGATTTCCAGCAATGGCGCCTGCAATGTTCACCATTCTAAGCTTAGCTCCTCCAGGCTGAATGTGTTGTAGGCCCGTCGCCAGCTGCTGGCAAAGTGGTTCCGAGCTTCCCAGCTTTTGCGCCACAGCAACAAACATACACGAGTTGTACGAAGGTGAAAAGAGGGTGAAAATGCTGCGACGTCTACACCAGTAACTTATCTCAGCACTCCAAGTTCAGCCGTGTTTGATAAGTCCAATGCTGTCAACACAGGAGCTCAGTTGAAGCTATGGCGCTGAGGTTGGGCGGAAGAAGATTTGGCAGCTCTCTGACCAGAGCGCTGAGCAGTCTCCCCGGCCGCCTTGCGCTTGCTGTTGGGGCAACCTATCTTGTTTGGCCTAGACACCCCCGCGTCGAAGTGGAAGAGGTCCGACTGCGCAGTATGAAGGTGCGCCTTGGTAAGGAAGAGGCTGCAGACAGTTCCAGTGTTGAGCTGGACTTGAATGTCAGCCTGCGAGTTTGGCTCCACAACACAAATGTGGTTAAAGTTGACCTCTTCGAAAGTGGGGCAACGGTACAGTACCGAGGGTCCACTTTGGGCGTTGGGATGGTGCGAGCGGCGACAATACCTCCAAAAAGCGCCGTCAAAGTGAGCGATCATCAACCAGCATGAGTATTCAAAGGGCCAGACATGCAGCACTCTACGTGCACTCTATCCAGTTGTTGACGCACAAATATGAGTAGGAAGGTTTCGAGTCCGGAACACTGATCAACGTGTGATCAACCAAGTCCTCACACACAACCTTCGGACGCAGAGCATTGTGCTGCCACAAAGACAAACACACCTTACTAGGTTGTGCAACTCGTTCACTTTGATGATAGTACACCAATCCTGAGACGCTAAAAACGACTAATCAAAAACTTGTTGTTATGATGAGTGTGGTCTATTCAGACGTCCTTTGCTTCTTCAAGACACTGGATCTTTTTGGTGCAGATGGATATCCCGGCAGTTCTTACGGGTGCGAAGGCGTTGCACCTTGGTCCACAACTCTTGAAAGATGCGGCGACGGGGGAAGTAGCGATTGTATCCTTTGCTGAAGTCCCTGGAGTGGCGTTCGTCGTGGGTATCAAGGTGCCCATTACGGTAAGTTACCACCTGAGGAACCACAGCACCTTAGGCACTTCCTGCGGTTTTTTGACAAGGGATCTATTCAGCCAACACATGTCGACGCTCGTCAGATTCATTTCCCCTGAATCTTCAAGATTGGATACGTTGTGGACGTTTCCAAAACCGCTCTTGAAAAGTCTGCAATGAGTTGGTGGATCTGCCAGCTTTGGGAACGAGATTATTCAAACAAGTCGCTGATCGATGATTCTGATGTCTGCTCATTTGCATCTCTTGTAGATATACGTCCGAATTCAGCTTGTTCTTGACCCTATCGGCCTTGGCATCCTTGCTCAAGAATGTACCGCCAAGCTGGAGGTCCTCGGCATACCACCCATATGAAGTAGCCAAGCATATTCAACAACTGATAGAGATCGACCATCAAATAGCCAGGTCCGTTACTGCTACAGCGGCGCCGCAATCTGTGTGCCAGTCGTGCATGCGCTTCACCATATTTGAACCCATAACTCAAACCCAGTATTTCATACAAAAGGACCGATTCCAGCTGTAGCTGACATGCGTCCCCTGAAGCTGCGGGATGTAAATCAGCAAGTTGAGCTGAGTTAAGCGCGACGACAAGTCGAAATTGTGTGCAGTCGTGAATGGACCTTAATCACGTGTTTTGGAAGATCAAGTACTGAAGACCATATGCTCTAAGAAGTTGTTAGTGTAGGCTAGGTAATGTAGGCTAGACGACAGCGTGTCGCTTTGAATCAAGCAGACGTACGTGTCATGTGACATAAGGTAGGCCTTAGGCTTCCAAAGCATACAGGTACGAAATGCTAATCTGAGTTCTGGCCGCCCATTCAAATCCTCCGATCCCTTTTGAGATATTTTGAGTACCTGCCTGCTAGGTTTCAATTGTCCTATGCAACGCAGCCGCCCCTAATGCGGCTCAACTGCTTGATCGAAGTGCACATGGGATGTAGATGCCCTAGGGCAACTCGTGGTCAAACATTTCGGCCCATGTGTGCGCTGCACTGCATGAAGACCACCAAAACGTGTATATACCCACAGCATCGAATGCTGGAGCTTTATCAAACCTTCGAACGAGCAGGAATTGCGCGATTCAATATCATGTAGCCAACTGGGCCCCTGCTGACTCAGGGCAACGCAAAGAGATGCTGTAGCTAATCGGCCATAGTTTTAGAGTTGAAAGGTTGCAGCGCGAGCTTCTCCAACACCGATGTGTCCTACACCATAAAAGCGATCAGGTCGCTTTGGCAAACCCACCTTAGTGGCATGCACGTTGCCGTCGCAGACAAGACAAGCGGGCACGTTTTAACTGGTCGCGCTTCAACCGGTGTCATGGACCATAATGAATCGTAAGAAACGCCCATGCCCTTGTGCGTACGTGCGCGGTTTCAAAAGTCACTATGGCCTGGCGACTCATGAGATGCAAAGAGGCGGTTACGCTTTACACAGCCTTACCACCTCCATCTCGAATTGAGTCGCATACCCGCTTTATCGGAGCATCTGGCTGAGTTTTGACGAGTTGCTGCTCGGACAAATGCTTCCTAGTGCTGAACACATTGCAGGGCTATCGCATTGGTCCCCTAGGAGCCAATCTCAAACAACGATGTACTTGGATCACGCATGCACTTCTTGACGGACGACGCAAATTGCACGTCGTGTGCGTTACTTTCAGTCAGTCTGTCGTTACCAGCACTGGCGATAAGCTTGCTCTCTGCGTTTGTTCAAAGTCCGAAGGGCGATCGCAACGTTTGAGACCATGCACCCGTCCTGGGAATGATCCCCCACCTGGAGAAATCATCCCCCTCTCCCTCGGAAACGCAAGCAGTGTTTTGGGTGGGTCAGCACTTTTAAACTTCGAAAAGCCCGCACTCGTCGGGGCTTGCCGAGGTGGACTTCATAGGGGCTGTTGCACATTCTGTTGAACGCACTGCAAAAAAGCGGGACGCTTGACGTCAAGGTGGGGGCAGTCCTATGTCAATGAGATGCATAACAAAGACATCATTTGTGTTGATTACAGAACCTACTCATGTTTTAGTGGGCACGGTACGTTCTTGCTCAAAGGCCTCCATTGAACGCAGGTCGTTTTCAACAAGCCAACTCCCTCTTCCTTACTCCAAAGGAGGGGAATCTGAGTAGGTCGAGTACTTCATGTGCTGGTTGACTCTGCAAACGACCATCAAAACAAACATGCAAAGAGATAATCAATGAGGAACTCAACGACCAAAGCATCAGCTCCGCTACCTTGAGCAGGTTGACATAGTAGAAGTCCTCCATGTGCTGCATGATCCCGCTCCCGTCCTGCAGGCTTTGCAGCAGCGCAATCTCGGTGCGCACCAGCTGCGAAATTAGCGCCTGCTCCCCGCGCATCTGCACACGAACGCCCGGGTTCAGTGATGCATCTTCAGTATTGTAGGCTGTTGACGTGCTAACGAAAACATGGTTAAGAGTGCGGTTAGACAAAACCCAGATCAGGAGTAACCTCATGTTTTTTTGGTCAACGACTACTACGAAAGCGAGGTTGCGAGTTTGAGCAAACACTACAACAAACCTTTATCGGTCGTACGCAGAAAAAGGCGTAAACAAAGCTCTTGTACGGAACCTTTTCCGTATCTGCACAGGGCTCGAACCGTTGCGTATGGCCTTACTCTTTGATAGAACATTTGCCTTGTCTATTATGGTCTACAAAATGATTCAATCTTTTGCGAGACTAGGCACCTCACCAGTTCTGGGAGTAGTGCGTCCGCTGACGTCTCCCCGATGACGTCAAGCGTGTAATCGTCCTCCAGGGCGTCGTTACCGAGCGGCCGCCCGCGCAGGTCGCCCCGGAAGTAGATGGGCTGCTTCACGTGGCAGTAGCCCAGCAATCGGGGCACCTGCGAGGCGGCACCACTTAAAATGGTTAGCTGGTCGGTTAGCTGGAGTGGCGGCGGCTTGGTCAACAACAGGTGACGTAACGCAAGAAGCCGTCACAAAGCTTACGGACGCTGGCAGAGAAGAACGGTGCAGCAGAACGGAGCAGACTGAAAAATCGGTCAGAGGATCTTCCCGCATTTCTCCTTTGCCGCCGCCTTCTTGCTCCGCTCTTCCGTGTCCTTCGCTTCGTGGCGCCACCCGTGGTCATAGAAGATCCTAAATTAGGTAGCGGATGATAAGTTATTGCTTGTCGAAGCTTATGATCGCGGATAACAGGAACTTGAATTCTCGTATGTCCTTTTGAAGCCCCGTTCGACAGAATCTCCGGTAGTTGCACACCTGTCAGCTTCTTCAAGCCCTACCACCTCAACACCCGCTTTACAAACCCCCTCTTTTGTCACCTAGATCCGACCTCACAGAACCCCAAAGAATGTCGAGGTTTTCCACCATGGGTGTGAGGTTTTCGCAATTGCACCGATAACCAGATCTATTCGGGACCTTGACTCAATTCCCAAACAGCAAGTTTCCCTCTATCCAAGTTTCTCACCGTGGGTATGATGTCCCGATGGTTGCACACCCGCCAGCTCGTCCCCACCGTCCGATTGTACTCCTCCGCAAACGCGCGATTGCCGACACGTGGCGAGCCGAAGTTGTACATGACAACCTCAGCCTGCCGCTGGCGCGCCCACGGCAATCGCACCACGTCGCGTGCCAACAACGTTGCCAGCGCTCCGCCCAAACTGTGCCCAGTAATGTAAATTGTCCACGTACCGGTTGACTCATCCGGCGCTTGGCTGCATGAAAAATATAAATCATAAATTGATTCTCTTAAGCCGGGTCACAGAGCATGACGTACTGAATGTGTCAAGAATGAACATGAGGACTTCCTCAGAGCCGCGCCCAGACTGAGCCCGGTGATGTAAATCGGACAAGGGCCGCTTGGTTCGTCCGAGGCTTGTCTGCATAAGAAAGCTAGAGTGTGAAGAGCACGCTTCCCCTCAGGCTATGTAGCCCGGTCACAGTTCAAGGCGTAACATAAGATTTAAAAGTTCTCAACGCACTGCCCAAGCTGTGCCTGGTCAAGTAAACCGTCCACGGGCCGGTGGGTTCATCCGGAGCTTGGCTGCATGAACAAAGGATCTTGTAAGAGCCATGCATTTTTCCTCAAGCAGAGTATCTTGAGAGAAACAGCGGGCAGGCCCCTCAGCTTTGCTCACCTCTTTTTAGGGTAAAAAACCCTAAAAAGCCCTAAAAAGTGATCACCTCTCCAAGTCGTCTCGCGTCATCGCCTCCAAGATTGCGACGATTTACTGCGGCACGCTGTCGTAAATGGACTCGATTTCGTGCCACCTGGAAGAGCCTGCGAAAGCAGGTTATCCGAGAGGACAACGACGGGCAGGCCGCCCGAACCCAGCTCACCTTTCTAAGTCGTCCCTCGTCATCGCCTCCAGAATCGCGACGATCCGTCGGCGAACGCTGTCGTACGCACGCAGGAAGCCGGCGTGCACGGCTGGTTCGTTGGGGTCGCCTGCGGAGACCCGCTCCGGATTCAGCCCCGCGCTGACCAGCATCAAGTCTGTCGCCAAGTCACGCCACTGGGTCTGTAGGAAGTGGATAATCTTGCTCGATAGACAGAAGAAGGCAGTGCTGGGCGGATGGAACCAGTTAGGGGGTTAGGGTGGGTGCGAGGGTGGAGTGCGGTCAGATTCGATCAAGTACTTTGTTGGGCCGTGGATTGTTCTCTTGAGCGCACTGTTGAGAGCATCGAGAAGCATGAAAAAGGTTAGCAGTACTTTAAAGCACCGTGATGCACTTGGAGAGACTCGGGAAACGCGAACCTGATGAAGTCTGGTTGCCACAACCTGAAACCTAACATTATTTCAGAGCCACTAAACGGCAAAGTTCCATACCTTTCTGCTCCGTGCCCCAGAAAGCAAGCACGATTCGCCGCCCCGCATTTGCACGCCAGATCGAGGTCCGGTCGTCGGCGGTCCAGGAAGGCGAGCTGGCTGAAGCCGAATACCACGTTGGTTGCAGTACCGCTTAACAACGAAAGCTGTAGAACAAGCTTTCACACTTTTACCTGTTCTGTGCCTTGGAAAGCAACCACGAATCTCCGCCCCGCGTTTGCCCGCAAGGTCGTCGCTTGGGTGTCAAAACCCGGGTGGTCCAAGAAGGCGAGCTTGGTGAAGTCGGGCTGCCTCGAACTGACATTCGAAACAAACCCAATTCCTAGCAAATGAAGGCAGCCTTTTGAAAACCTTACCTGTTCCGCTCCTCGAAATGCAACCACAATTCTCCGCTGCGCGTTCGCCCGCCAGATCGCCGCCAGCATGTCGTTCCCGGGTGGTCCACGAAGGCAAGCTTGGTGAAGTCGGCTGTCCCAACTGGTCAAACTAAATGCATTTCGTCAGGATCTTCATAATCTTACCTGTTCCGTGCCCCGAAAAGCTACGACTAGTCTCCGCCCCGCGTTTGCTCGCCAGATCGCCGCCTGCGTGTCAGTCTCAGGATGGTCCAAGAAAGCTAGCTTGGTGAAGTCGGACTGCACTGCGCTTCGCTGACCCGCCTGCTGCGCGAGCAAACTCCACGCCTCTACTGCGCTCTCTGCGCGCCGGAACACCGCGCGCACTTCCGCCAGTTCGGCTTCGCTTGCACCTGGAACAGATCCGGTGTCAATTACTAAGGCTCTTATTGATGAGGGAAGTTGAGACACACAAAAATAGTCCGCTGCTCGGCTGGTTGCAAGCGCAGGCTCCATGCATCTCTGCACGCCGGAAGACCTCGCTCCGCCAGCTCGGCTTCGCTCGCGCCTGTGGGCTTCATAAATTCACTTTGAGATTTGACATCGCGGTCACAATGGATCGAGCTTCCTCTCCCTTCCCCGGACCTCGGTTTCCGTTATGTCCGCTTCTCCCAAGGCCTTTTCTGCTTTGATGACATGTTCCAAGGTGAGCAGTCAAGGTTTCTTCTACCCTCTTCAAAGTAGGTTGGGAACCGGACGCTAGACAGACCGGGTAAAGAATGGACCCTCCTCGCCCCCTCACCTGGCCAAGACCCCCCCTTTGGTCTTCACAAGAGCCACACTCGTCTCTAATTCAAGGACGACTGACAAAGTTTTCCCTGTTTCTAGTCTTGTGGCAGATCCGGTCGAATGGTTCGTCCTCGTGCTCCTTTGTCGTGCATGCACTCAACCCGACCTTCGTAAGCACCAATCGAACGACGTTTGAATCCCTCGGAATGCTGCGTTACACCAAGGATTGGAAACTGAAGCTCGATGAAGATGGAGATGATCGATCTCCAACCAGCCTCGATTTCATGCGTCTCCCTTGTATCCCCTCACCTGCCGCCCTGAGCTCTTCCTCCGCTTGCCGCTCCTCCTCCCTCCGCGCCTCTTTCGCCCGTGCCACGTCAGCAACCTTTTCAGCCACGTCAGCAGCGTCGGGAGGTACCGGGGGCGGCCCGGGCTGGCCCTGCTTCCCGACCAGGCTCGCTAGCAGAGCCCACGGGCCAACCGCATTCTCGCCCTATAGAAGGACAAAGACGAACATCAAGCTCATGTCCTATTCTCCGATGATATGTGGGCAGTTTCCAAACGTCACGCAACTGTCCTATCCTTCGAATGCTGGCGTTTATGCAGCCCGGCCTCGTTCAAAGAGGGTACTTTATCATCCACGCAAGCTTCGTTTCGTCGTATGTGCGATTCTGTTGCTCTCGGGGTTGGGGCAGCGTGATTTACAGCTTTGGACGGGTGGAACTCGATAGAAGTTGACAGCGCAGGTGCGTCTTGTACTTAGGTGGCCAGATGCGACCAGAGGTTTAGTTGCAGTTAGACAAGATTCAAACGCGCGTGTTGAAACTCCGACAAGCATGGAGATCGTTGAACTGTCTATCTGAGTGCAGAAGGAGGGCTGACGGCTGAGAAATAGGATTGGAACTCCCGCCCTGCCTCACCTGCTTGAACAGCTCCATCTGTTCCTCATCGTTTCGCTGCTCCTCTCCTCCCGTTTCAACCGCGGCTCCTGACTTCGGCCCATCCACCCGTGCTGCGCTTTGCTGGCTCGAACCCGCCTCCTTTCCGTTCCGTTCCCTTTCCGCTCCCCCTCCCCCTGGCCGGAGCGCCTCCCACGCGCGCACTGCCTGACCAAGCAAGTCCCCAGCTTCGGCCGCGCTCGCTTCCGTCGCCTTCACTTCCGTTCCGTTCGGTTCCGTCGCTCTCACTTCCGTTCCCCTCCCTTCCATCGCAGTGACTTCCGCGCTTCCGTTTTGCGTGGCTTTATTCTCTTGCGCTTCTCTCCGCGCCAGCATCTTGCGTAACGTCTCTAGTTCCTTGTCCTCGGCTGGGGATTGACTAGGCGCCAGCCCTACAAGCCATCCTGCAACTTGTTGTAACCAGGACGGGGAGCTTTCCACTTGGGCGGAGAACTGGGTGTAGCGCACCTGCGGCAGACAGCGGAGAGCGTCAAGCAAGCGGGTGACGTCAATAAGAACAAGCAAAAGCCTTCCAGGGGCCAGAAGAGACTGACCGTGCCTTATGCCATGCACGTTTGAGCGCATGTGACGAAGTTGACATAAGTGTCTGTAAGCCATGGCCGAAGCTCTCGAGACGTATCACAGGACCAAGTCGGCCAGTGCCTAAGTCCCGCTTCTTTCTGCCTTTGACGTACTCCTCAAGTGTCCGACCTCCTGTAGACAGCGCCGTTGCGCAGGGGCGCCCGCAGCTTTTTTCTTACCGTCGAGGCCGTTGGCAACCGTCTATAAACGCAAACCCCAGGGCTTAGGATTTGGGTTTCTAGGAAAACCTGGTCACAATATTGAGACTCTGGCCTCGAGCAACATCAGGCCCTCGACCAACCTTCTTTTGCAGCAACAGCGTCAACTTATGCCGGGACTGTGCTGACGCCCGTCACAACCCTCGCCATCCCTAGAATCAGAGCTCTGGGCTTTCAAGGTTGAAGAATTGCACGATGTAAGGAAATCAGAGCTCCGGGCCTTTAAGGTTGAAGAATTGCACGATGTAAGGGAGCCGGAATCTTGCTAGGTTCTCACCTCTAAGAGCAGTCGGCCTTGGCCGTAGTCCTCTTGCAGCGGAAGTTCTAGCTTGTGCAACGTGCCGTCCAAAACATCCGCCACACGCAGCGCCGCCACGCCCATGCGCCGGTCCGCCGCAACTAGGTTGGCGTCCCAAACGCTGGCGCGCAGAACCTGATCAGCGACTGGTGCCTGTGCAATGCCGAAAAGAGGACGGTCTTCGAAAGCCGCTTCCAAACGGACCCTTACCGAACTTCTTGCTCTCGTTTGGTGGCGGAGAGACCGTGCTCCGGAGGAACCTCGCCTTTGTTGAACCAGATAAGCTTCAAGCTGGCTGCTAGTAGTGTTTCGATTTTAGACTAGCGGCTCAAAAGTCCTGAAGAGGCAAAGCTTATGACGGACTAATCTGGGTATAATAAGAGCCAGGTATAATAAGCTCCAACTAACACTAAAACCCTAACCCAACAATCTACCCGCTCCGCACCCGTACCCACCCTAACCCCCAGACTAACCCCACCCGTCCGGGACCCGTCCCAGGCTGGTGAGCTTATTATACCTGGCGCTTATTATTCCTAAATTAGTCCGAGCTGCAAAGCTTGCCTGAAGTTGGGGTCCGTCACAACAGCATGGGCGTGAGGCAGAAACCGAGGCGCGCAGACACGAGCAATCCTTTTAGAGACACCGCAGGCATCATCGAGAGCAATCGAGCGGCTATGAAGTCAGCTCTCGTTCTGATCACTTTGCCCGTCGAGAACGTATCCTTGAGCCACAGATTGCTTAAGGTGCAAAAAGTATGGCTCGGAATTGAACGGACAGTGTACCACGCTTGAGACGGAACATCGGTTTCAGGGCGGCTAAGGGCTTTCGTGGCGACTAACGAAGCAACGAATCACTGGAGCTTGAGCAGTCAGTCGCAAGCCCCACCGTGTGCCAGAAGCGTGGGAATCTGGCCCCGCTTCTGACTAGTACCGGAGCCTGGGGCCCTGACGCAAGACTGCAAAAGTTCCTTCGATGCGTGAGACACAACCCAAAACGCTCACGCCAAAGAGGGTCTCGTTTAAGCCCCACCTTGACGTACAACGTGAAGGTTTGGTTCCAGTTTGGGTTAATGGTAACCGGCTTTGTTGAGGTCCTGGCGCGGCAGTCGCCCAAAGTGAGCACCGCATACGGATCGCTCGCGTTCCACATATCGAGCGCGGGGCAGTCACGCGCGCCGACCGCCGTGACGCGAAGCTCGCCCTCGTACAGCTGGCGCAGCAGCGACCTGGACAGATTGGGGGTTGGTTAACTCTTAACAGCGCGTGGTTAGTGCTTGGGTTAGTCCCTAGTTAGTAAGCGTGTGCCTCAGGCAATTGAGCAGCTCGCCCGCATATGGATGGTGCAGCAGCGACCTGGGAAGGGGGGGGCCAAAAGCGTGGCCTTGAACTTTCCCTACCAAAGGAAATTTGACCTACATCATGTGTCTATGTTCTACTCAATTAAGGGCGACACCTCGACAAGCTTGCAAGTATCTTAGAGATAGTTGCAAAGACGTCTATGAGCAGGGGGTGCCAGAGGCTGGGGCCCCTATGAAGCCTTGTACAGCAAAGTCGACTCACAAGCAACATTAAACCCTGGGGTCTGATGTCCTTATTAAAGAAGCTAGGTCAAGATTGGAGTGGGAGAGTTGTTGAGGAGGCACAAGCACTAAAGTGTAAATGAACATGACTCCTGCAGTTTCAACGAAGGTGCCAGCATTTGTCCAATCTATATTAAGAGCAACTCAGGCAGACATCTCTCACATTCATCAATGCAAAAATCGTATCTAGTGAAAAGGCAGACGACTAAAGTTGCCACACAAGACCTTTCTTGTCTGAAACCTGCAATTCTTGTCCACTCTGGATATGCCACATCCATTTGTATGGACAGACATGATTCGACATTCAAGCGACGCAAGATTTCTTTCAAAGCCAGGGCCACGGTTGGGCTCTCGTTTGAAAGCAGAAGACTGAGCAACCTGCCAAAAGCTAACCTGCCTTGCGGCGAAAGGAACAGTGTGCGGCACCCCACGGCATCCTCAGTGGACACCAGGACCGCTGACTGCGGGGGGGTGTTGTACGACTCAAAGGAGAAGCCTGCTAAAAGCACCGCCAAGTCCAGGTCAAACGCTGCCCCAGACAACGCCCCGGGGGGCTCATTGCTGGCTTTGATGCAAGCCCCCCGTTTCTTCCTGCTACTGCAAGGCCCCCGGAGAAATGCCGCCGCGAGTGCTAAGGAGAGGCGTCGTGGGAATGTGGTGAATCCTGCCCCCCCATTGTGCAAGCGCACTGATGAGAATCTTGTGTGGCGAGAGCTAGCGTGCAGATGGGGGCGAGGTGGAGCGGGCCACTCGTTTGTCCCCACTTGGGATGCAGTTGCAAAAGAGCGTTCGAGTAGGGGGGTGGGGGCTAGGGGACACGCCACCACTGTAAGCATCGTGAGAGGGGGATGCTGCCTTAGAAGGTCTTGAGATTGTCCCGCTTATTAGGTGAGCTGCCCTGCGCTTGACACGAATTTCCTGCAGCAAAGCAGAGCTAGCAGATTACAATGTAATTTAGCTGGAAGATCAACAAGGGCAAAGGCAAGGGAACAACAGCCCCTATCAGCGAGCAGTTCTAAAGCAGGACAGAAGCCCTAAGGTATTTGCATTGAACCACCAGGCGGGGGGACAATCAGCGCAAGACGGCATGAAAGAGGGTGCTTAAGGATAAATCCTGCAAGTGGAAAGACTGATGGGGGAATCCATTGTGGCTTAGAATGATGCAATGAAGCCAGAGGGCAAGGGCAGGAGAACAGCTGAGTTCTCTCTGATGTGAGCTGGAATTGGGCCTCACCTGGGTTGCTCTGCCGGCCCTGCTCAGAAGCTGCCACTGATTGCCAGACAGATCAATCTGAGGCCACCAGCGCACAAAGGGCCTCAATGGTACTTAACTGAGCATTCTTGAGAGCAGTCACTGTGTGAATGAGCAGCAATTCAAGTTGGCAGACAGCTGACAGCATTGCATCCCTGACAGCGATTGGAAGGAATGCAAGCCCTTGGCGGATTCCAAGTCAGCAAGTCACCCGTCTGTCGATTACACACCACCATGAGTATTCCCTGCAGTGTAAGGGCTCAGAAAGATGGCAGCGCCGGGCAGTATTGAAGGGACTGTGATAGGCGGCATTGCGGAGCCTTAGAAAAAGTCTTTTCTTGAAGCCCCTCTCTTGGTTTGTTCACCACAATGAGGGCTGCATTGGGCGCATTGCACGAACCTCTTGTCCACCATATCGTGCCTATCGTGATTCGTGTAGCTCTAGTGATGTACCGGCTTAATTCGCGAAGCTCCGAGTTCATGTTCCTGGACCGGGGGGGTCCACTTCAGCCCCCCAGATTGTGAACCGGGGCATGTAAATGCAGATCGCGTCCGACTAACCCTCTGCTTACCCTTATTTAGGTAACACTATCAGCTGTTAGGTTTCGCATCACTTTAACCTGGTAGTTGAGCTTCGTTACTTTGGAACAAGGGCGGAAGGGCGAGTTCTGGTATCCGGGGTGATTCGACACTACATGGAAGCCGTCCAAACGAGAAGACTTTGATCCAAAGATTGAATCCACAGCAATTGATCAGGCCATACAGCCGTCGATTATCATCTGACGGGTAGGAATCTTGATTGAACTGCAACAGCACTTTCCTTTGCAAGAGGGCAGTCCCCCTGAGTCCGACTCGCTTGTGAGTCTCCACTCGTGAGTCTTCACTGTTCAGGCTGGAGTCTGGGCTTCGCAACTTCATGCAGATTGACAAAGACGGTTGCTTAGAAGTGTCCACCTGGGGCGCCCAGACAACGTTGGCAGCTGCGAATAAGCTTAGCTTGCTTAGAAGCGTCGTTCGAAGCACTTGATTTGGTGGACTCCCTTTGTAATCCAGCACTCTAGGTCGTAGCTACATCAGCAGCGGTCTGATTGCTTGGATTGATATTCCCAAGGTTTGACGGTTGGGGATATCAAAGCTTAGAAGCACCAGGTCGAGAACGACGCGAAGTGTGCTTCACAACGAGGCTCTCTTCCACCAGCCACATAGCTGCTGCTTCGTCTTCCTCAAGGGATTAGGTGTGGACCTTACATGACACATGTACTGACCGCTCGGTGGTCCTCATTGGGAGGTGTCACATTGAGTCTGTGAGCTGCCACCACTAGAAGCAGCATCAGAGCTTTAGCGGCCCTGCAAATTCCAAGTCAACTGGAAACTTCAAGGCAAAGAAAGGAGCGATCAGTGCACAGGAGCAAACGGAGGGGGAGACCACTGGGCAGCGATCCGTTTGGTGCATTCTTCCGCTAGATTATCTTGGAGTATGCGCACAAATCGGATAACTTAGCAGCCGGGAGGCGAAGAGAAATGGGGAGCGTTATCGGTTCCTGTGCAGGTGAGCAGGTGGTGGCATTCTCTTGAACAAAAGTTTGCAGAGGGTCAATACTCGGCAGGAGATGGATTGCACACGTTTCCCAGTCAGCTGCACTTATTGTTCAACTTTTGTCGATTGTTCGAGGCCCAAATCAAAGATAGCAAAACCTTGCCCTGAGCAAGTTCCACTCGATGCTCCAGCTGGAAACTCTGTTGACGGTATGGAATTGAGGAAGTTTCTGATTATGTGGTCTAGGTTAATCAACGTCTAGGGTAGCACGAGGTCAAGCCTCTGCTGGTTGCACCTGTCCAGTTGCTCATACATCTCTGCCCGAAAAGGGACCGCTCGCTGAAAATATCTACGCGAAGAATGTATTGGGCCAACGACTTGGTGGCGTTCACTTTGCAGGGGCCTGTGCTGCGTCCTGTATCTGCCAGGCCTGCGCCGGCGCCAATCGCTCGGCCGCTCGGTTTATCTACGCAGCCATCTTCTTCATCACTGTCATTCTAGCATGGATCATCAGGGACTACTCGGGCGACTGGCTGAAGACATTACATCGTGAGTCAACATAAGTTGCACCTCTGCTTGTTTGCCATATGTAGGCCAAGGGAAGAGGGCATATCGTGAGGGTTAATGTCGAACATGATTTGCGGGGCGAACCATCTTACTGTACCAAAGTGCTTCAATCACAAGACCTCCCAGCGTCAACAGTGTAAGCATCAGTCAGACTTTTGGAGATGTAGTACCTTGTTCTCTCCCAGTTTTGATTATTTGTCCAGTCAATAACCGGTGCGAGCTTTCTGGGCGAAGGCTGTCATGCCAGGATTTCTTATATCATCGTTAGAACCTCGGTTGCAATACGTCTCCGCCAACTTGCTCTGTAAGTTTCTCACCCGTTAGCTGCAAGTGGTATATCAAGTCTAAAGAGTTTCCTTACCATCTGTCTGCCTGCCTTTGCAGAGTTCAAAGCATGTAAAGATGTTGGGATCGGGAACCCAAACCACTGCGTTGGCTCGGAGGGAGTCCTCCGCCTTAGCTTCAGCGGGTTCATCTTCTTTGCGGTCATGTTCTTGACCACGCTAGGAACGAAAAGCAAGGAGGATTGCCGGGATAGTTGGCACTCAGGCTTCTGGCCCATCAAAATCATCTTCTGGCTGGGGCTGCTCATAGTACCATTCTTCATGCCGTCGGGCTTCTTCCAGGTGTATGGTGAGAAAACTTCGGCTTCTTGTATCCAGCTATTCATGTGATCGTTGTACAAGCACTGTGTGTCTTTGACATTTACTTCTGGTTGATCAGCTGGAAAGGTGTCATCCAAGCTGCGCAGAATTAGAAAGAACCCCGTCATGCCCTCGGGCCGTTTGCATCCCTATGTTGGTCATTGATGCATGTTGCGAGGTCTTTGAAATCTACTATTCGTGCCCCAGATTGTTAGGCTTGCAAGTTTGGTCCGCTTCGGCTCCAGCTCCTTTGCACACTTGACGACAGTAGCTCATCGGGCCCTGGAATCAATCGCTTCTAACCATGTATCTCTTCTCTCTCCACAGGAGCAATTGTCCGCCTCGAACTCGAGCCTGTTTTTATTCTTTAGAGGAGTGCCCGATTGCGGCACTTGGATATCAACGCTTTCGACCATACATTCCCTGTTCCCAGCACGCGTCATCGCCTGCTTCAACTCGAGCCTCGTCAAAGCACTCTTTGTGAAGAAGAAGGGCAGGGGGCCAGGTGAATTCGGGGGTCGCTTCAAGACCCCACAGAGCCCAAATCAGGACCCCCACAACCCATTGTTGACCATACTCTTTCTCTCTCTACAGGCGAGACTGCCCGCTTCGGCTTTGACGGTTTCCACTTTCGATGAGTAACCAACTGATGCCCTCCACGCTACCGACCTACCAGCAGCGAGACCGCCCACTGAACTCCTGGCGACAGTATTCAATCTGCCCCTCAAAATTCACTGTTTCAAATTACTATTTTCTCCACTTTCCACAGGCGAGATCGCGCGCTTCGGCTCCGGCATCTTTCTAGTCATTCAGCTGGTCACCCTGCTCAACTTCGTGTACGAGTGGAACGACGCGTGGCTCGCAGACGACAACGAGCGCCGCTGCCGGATCCCGCTCGTCGGAGTTTCCCTCTTCTGCTACCTCCTCAGCCTGGCGCTCATCATTTTGATGTTCGTCTGGTTTTCGCCGCGCGCGAGCTGCAGCCTCAACATCTTCTTCATCACCTGGACGCTCATCCTGATCCTGGTCATGACGGTCGTGTCTTTGCACCCGCAGGTAATCTACGCTTTCTCTGCTCTCGCTCGAGCTGGAGAATCTGATGCTGGCTGCCTGCTTTGTCACGTTCAGGTAACTGAATGCTCGCCGTCGTGGATAGTCCATTTGCGTATACTGGATTTCTAGTTTGGAGTAGTAGAGCCGTCACTTTGAAGACGTGTCGAAAAATCGAACGGGTGACATTTTGTTTTCATATATCGCTCAGCTGAAAGCTGCGCTTTGGCACGCCCCTTACCCCTTGGAGAAATTTCGTGCTGCTACCTTTCGAACTAGGCACTAAGACTCCAGCCCATGGAAGAGTTGAAGATCGTCCCGTACCAGCGGACAGTCCTGCATTTGTCAAACGGCGATGAAAGCGTCAGCTTTGCCCCGTTGCAGGTGAACGCGGGGCTGCTGACGTCAGGTGTGATGGCGCTATACATGGTGTTCCTGTGCTACAGCGCGATCATGAGGTCAGCAAACGCGGTTGCCTGTCATAAGCAGATTCCAAGGCGGATCCCGGCGCTGCTCTGAGAATTTTGTATCAATCTACGGCTGTGCTCGGAGTTATCTCACTGTTTAGCTTCTGCGGCCCGGATTATCAAGCTCGGAATCAGACGTTTTTGTATAGGCATTGCATATGCAAATCGGCCCTGCTCTGCGCGATGCTCGGGTCGTTCTTTTGCTGTGCCGTTTTCGCATTTGAACTCTCCCACAATCCCGTTGTATCTGCTGGAAGCATTTCTGCGGCTCCCTGTGTGTGCCATTAAAACCGCAATCTAATCTCTGTGCCGCCCTTTCAACGCGTCTAGACAAAGGCCTTGTTTCTCTTGCTGCTGACTGCTCTCTTTCTTCTTGGTCAGTGAGCCGGCGTCGTACTCCTGCAACACGAGGCCCCGGCAAACGGGGAGGTCGGACTGGGTGTCCATCGTGGTAAGCCCTTCTTGCCGAGTCGGGTTTCAAAAGCTGATCAACATCTGCACAAAGTATGCCACTTTGACGGGCGTTCTGCAAATGCTCGCGCTGAAAAACTGCAGAAGTTGCTTGCTCTCGCGAACGCACAGCAGAGTGGTTAGCAATCTTTGCAGGGTAATGTGCTGTTTTTGGAGTCAGTCTAGGAGGCGAAGTTTGTTCATAGTCAGTTTGATGCGCCACCGCGCGCGCGTGACTTGGTTCGATCATGGCGTCTGAACAAGTGTTCCTTCAAATTGCTCTTTTTATGGACCGCTCAGCGCATGGAAAACGACGGAAGGACCACATTGATTCGAACACGGCCTCATACATTTTTCTAAACTTGCAAGGTCTGCTTGAAGATTACGGTTTGTGACCAGATTCACATCTCTGGCTGCTCCTCCGCAGAGCTTCTTGCTGGCGTTTATCGCGATCATCATCTCGACATTCACGGCCGGTGGCGACTACCGGGCGTTCCAGTTCAAGAAGGAAGCCAGCTTGGACGCGGACGAAGTGCCGTACGCGTATGGCTTCTTCCACTTCGTCTTTGCAATGGTGAGGCCGGGATCGGTCGAGTTTATGGGGGGGGTTCGTTCGTTAAGCGCGGCACTGAACACCAACCTGAGTATGTCTTTTCGCTAAGAGAGGTGCCGTACGCCTATTTCTTCTTCCACTTTGTGTTCGCCATGGTGAGCGCAGAACCGACTCTTTCCGTATGTTCGAGCGCGGCATAGAAGCTTCTTCCGAAAGGTTCATCATTTCATCTCAGAGTGGGACTGACTGCCAATCTGAGTGAATCTTGTGAACCGCTTTTATCACAGAACCTTGAAGTTTCTTCCTCTTTACAGGGCGCCATGTACTCGGCGATGCTCTTTTTGGGCTGGAACCTTAACACGACGTCAGCGAAGTGGTCCATTGACGTCGGGTGGGCGAGCGTGTGGGTGAAGATTGTGTCCGAGTGGGTGACCTTCGGCCTCTACCGTAAGTACTTCGCAACCAGCGCTTCGTTCTTACTAGAAGCGTTCAAAACAAGTCCCCTATGCAACATCCTCTGTCCCTCGGTCAGATACTTCTCTTTGCACTGTGTACCGTGATTTGTTTGTTTTCTTTCCGGACTCAGCTTTGCCACAGCCTCGGGGCCATTGGTAGAATAGCAAGTACTTCTTTGAGCTGAAGCGGACTTCAGCATTTGCGGTCGACGTTGAACCTGGAGTCAACTTGCTTCGTGGGGGCTCTCCGGCGCTCAAGCTTTGTCGCGGCAGTCTGCGTGTCTATCGGTCTGCTCTTCTCCAAGAGAGCTGATGCACTTTTTCCAGCTCTGAGCGGTTTGATCCGGCAGTTGTTGTTTCAGACTTTTGGTCGCTTCTTGGCTTCTATGCAAGAGCATCTGCAGCTGCCAACTCATGAGAGGTTCTGTCTGTCTTTTCCGCGGGTGCCCAGTTTGTCCGTGAGAAGCCAACCTCGAGGGGATGAACGTTTATCCCCAAGGCTGAGGGCACTGTGCTGAAACGCGTTACTGCATGCCGATGCACTTGGTCGCGAAGCTGCTCGGACCTTGAACACCAGCGACGTGGCAGTCCTGCCAGCTTGTGACCCCACATGGTGCACAATTTGTTGCACCTTATGCGCCTCACAAACCTTGGCAAAGACCTGACTCTGCTTTCTTGTTGTCCCTGCAGTTTGGACGATGCTTGCGCCCCTCTTCCTCAAAGATAGATCGTTCTACTAATTGTGACCTTGCTCCGGTCAGCGTACACCCGTCAACTACTGAGGGGCTATCTTGTAGCATGGAATGTCAGAGCATCTGTGAGGGGCTAGTCCTGTAGCGGAAGGTCAGAGCATCTGACTCTGTTGTTATGCATCAATCAGCGGACGCGATGCCACGTTAGATTCTGACGTGAGGAGCTTGATTAGATAAGACAACATTAACACCGTGGGGTTAGGACATTGATACAGAACCTTGCGCGCTGGCCGGCGATGCCGACAAAGGCATCCTAACTTTCATAGTTGAGAAAGTGAGAATTGAGCCTAAACGTGATATGCGGCCACAGCTTGCATGATACGATCGACGGATGTGGGGATGTGGGAGAAGATTCAGTCCGCTAATTATCCTCGCTGGAGATGTCTGTCAAGAGATGGCCGAAGTTGTGCATGAGAATGAGAGCACGCATTATACTCTGGATCGTGACGCCGCAGCTCGGCGCAGCTGGAATCACAGCATATGCATATCCATGCATTCGATCTCTCTAGTTCTGGACGGTCGACCCTACATGATTAGCCTCCGACACGACAATAGCTATACTCAGTCCGAGACCATGACGACTCCAACACTGATACGTGCGCGCCCATCATTCCGAAGCTATGGGCCCAAAATGCCTCCGGATACTAACTCAAAATTCGCACTAAGCGAGCGGTTCTTTCTACGACCATCTTGCCCACGAAGTATGAAAGTTCGTTGCCCGGCTACATTTGGCAAACTGGGTGCAATTGCTCTGCCAAACCTCTGTTCCTATCGACCTGCATGTTTTCTTGCATTCGTGCCCGCGCGTTACAAGAGGCGCATGCAGCGAGATCCTACTTTTCCTACCTCTCAAACCCCATTTCATCAACGCGATCGACCCATAAAAGTTGATCTATCGTTTCTCCGGGCCTCGTCACACAGGGATCCCCCCTCGCCGTTCAAAATCCCCCGGCTGCAGTTCTAGCACGTCTGCCCGGCGGCGTTCTGGAATGGATACCCCTGAGTCGGCAGGCAATTGTTCATCGCGTCTTGCGCGCACAGCGGGCTTGGTTCCGTGCAAAACGAGGAAGTGTGTCCGTCCGCGCTGAAGCACGGGTTGCCCGCTGAGGCTGCGGGCTGGTAGGGCCGGACACGTGGCAGTGGTTTGGGCGGGAATGGTTGCCTGAGGGGGAGCTGCGGAAAGCGACGAGGGGACATGAGAACGGTACTTCGACCAAGATGAAGGAACGTCAAGAAACGTAGCGGCTTCGAGACTTTACTGATCAAATCACTATGAACGCTTTCTCTGGTTCCGCAGTCAGATTTGCGGGCTTGAAGGAATGCGTTAGAAAAGGCACAGGCACGTTACGGACGTAGCGGGATAAGCAGTGCGTGCAAGATGTGACAAGTAGCTTCTTCTTCCTGTTTCAAATCATCATGTGGTAGTACAAATATGCCCAGCAAACTGATGGGAACATCGTTGAGTGCATTTGCCAGACTGAGTTGGCTCCAAAGATTCATCTTGAACGCAAGCTTCAACGGAACAGCTACGACAAACAAAGTTCCGCTCACTTGGGGTTGGAGTTGGAGTATTGGTCGGTGGTGCACCGCTCTGAGTCGGGGTAGGAGTCGGAGCCGTTGTTGGGGAAGCGGCCGTCGAAGTTGGAGAAGGGGTCGGGGTACTAGTGGCTTGGGGGTTTGTAGTAGGAGTTGGCGTTGGAGTGAGAGTGGGAGTAGGCGTGGGGGTTCGAGTTGGATTACTGGTCTGTGCCGGTTGGGCAATCTGCAGCAGAGAATGTCATGATTTGAATAGAGAGGATAAGTCTTCGAGACCCGTTTGATCCTGAGCGTTGTGGGTGTTGGCAGGAGAGCCTGCGCAGGCCGTACGTCTTATAGAGGGGCCCCTTCCTGTTGGCGGTTACCCATGCCAGAGCCGATAGCGGCATGACTTTCAGCTCAAAGCTTGTCATGAGCTGAGTAATGTTCGAGAAAAGTCTGTGCCTTGAAAGCGCGGCAGAGCGTTGCATCTTTACGTGCCTTGTTCTGTCCGGGTTTCCTCTGGGCACTCCATGCGCCCAAGGTTACATTAGAGACGACTCTCATAAAGTTTATTCAGGCTTTACGACGACTTGAATACGAAATGCGGAAGGACCATCACGGTTGGTTAGCAAGAACGAAATTCATTCCTGAAAAGTAAAGCCGCTCACCTGGACCACGTAGCTTTTCTGGGTTACGGCAAACAGGCTGTCCGTAAGTTCCACAGTCAGGATGAGATTGGACGCTTGCACGTTGCCAATCACGCCGTTCATCTGGAAGAAGAAGAAGCTGCAAGCACACGGGTTCGCTTAGTAATCATACGCTGTGCGTTATTATGGTCACTGTCCAGAAGCTCACTCGTCCATGGTACTTCAGTTGACAAAGCTTTTGGTTCAGAGGAAAAAGCTCAGTCCGAAGTGACTCTTTTTCTGATGAAAATGCACCCGTTCCGGCAGCACAAGGTATATGGTAAACCCACAATCCAGGTACTCACGCAATCTCCAGCCCTGACTGCGTGAAGGGCGCCATCGTAGCGGCCGCAAAGTCCCACACGACCTGGGCGTTGCCGAACGTGCCCTTGAACGGAAGGCACTCCAGGCCGTACTCCATCGTATCGCTGGCCATGAAGTCTTCCTGACGGCCCGACCAGATGAGGCGCACTTTGGAGAAGTACTCAGTGGCCGGCTGATTGTTGAGGGTGGTCACTGTGATGGAAAGCAGGGTTCCAGGAGTAAACTGTATGCAGAAAAAGGACAAGCTTTTGTCAGCCAAATAGACTTTGAAAGGACTGGCCGCCGGGTTGAATTCAGGAGGCCGTAAGCAACCTCGTTGACGCAACTGGAGGCAAGCAGTAGGCTTTAGACAATGGGACTCGTTAAGTGGGCGTTCTTTGAGCTGGGACTTAAACATTCAACTGGAAGGCACTGATTTTTATCAGTGCTACTTCAGTCAGAGCTTCAATTGTTTGCGCAAAAGTCTATTGAGCAAAAAGTCTGCAAACTCTGTTACTTCAAAATCCACACAGCAGCATAGGAGTGACGGGTAATGTGCAAAGACAAATCCTATCCCCCAGTTGCAATTCTTCCGTCACTCCGGAAACAATGGTCCTGGAAAATTGCTTGGGCAAACAATGACTGGCCAGGGCCCATTAAACAAAACCAAGTGTCAGGTGGCTAGCCCCTTACCGGCCCTATCGTCGTTGACACTGCGTCTGTGGGAGGCGACAGGTTGTTCACCCCATCGTGGCCCCATTGCAGCTTGAACGGGTTGTGCAACTGCGCCGCAGCTGCATAAAACAAAAGCCAGAAAGTAGACCGCTAACAGGCTCTGCTTTTGAGCTGAACTTTGTTGGGTTTTGCGTCCCGCCATGATTGCTGACCTCGGCTAGCTTCTAGCTCGGCTTAAGTTTCAACTGCCACCTGTCAGCTTACGTGCTGTGGAGAGGTTTTGGACGATTGTATCTGGAGGACAAGGTTTGATTGCTGGAAGCTGATTGCTAAGTTGCTGACGTCAGGTGTCCTGCTTAGATGCTTACGGCAGCTTTGCAAATCTGTCAGTTGGGCAGTTGGCATTGCTGCTTGCAGAAGGCTGCAAATTCTCTTGGAAGTTGGATCAACGTAGCCTCTGGTCAAGTGCGCAGTGATTAAACGGTTCTGATAGAATCCATACGACTATTTTATGCTGATACTGGAAAAGTGCAGCTGTGCTGCAAAAGACTGTTCGGCCTCCGTCTTCAGAATGTGTGGAAACTTGGTCAACATTACTACTAGTACTGTAGCTGAGTAATCTCAATGAGCATATGAACACGTGATAAACACGCGCCGCAATTATCTTAGTACCTCTGGGCAGGAAAGGCGCCTCTCACCAGAATACTTCTTTGGTTGCATTGCGCAATGCAGTCTCAAGAGCCCAAAGACGTTCAAGATGCCGCTTCCAAGGAAACTTCGTCATGTGCAGTCACAGCAGTGTTGCAGTCGTTGCCTGGTCAACTTGCGCCTCAGGGACCAGGGTCCAGGGTCCGGTTGCAAATTGCACTGGGATTGCTTCCCCCGACCTCGGCCTTGCATTAAAGGCGCACCGTTGCTGATTGCGCGGAAGGTACGCTGCAAAAAGTGAAGGGGTACATACGCGGACATATGCGGACATATGCGGGCCAGCTGTCACGTATCTTTCGCGCCAAATTTTCAAGTTTGAAAACCTGTGCAGTCCAGCCTTCACTGTCCACCGCGAAGATGCGAAAAGTTTGCTTGCGAATGCCGAATTGCCAATGCCCAAGGCAATGTGGCAATCGGCAATGGCGCTCAGCTTGAGCTAGGTAGCCAGCCAGCTTGACGTACCTACTGCGGAAGGACATCCTCACAAGCCTACCGTAAGCCGAAGGAGGACAGGTACCTAGGTAGTAATACCTAGATTGGGGTGGGGCCTGCTATTCCAGCTGGCAGCTTATACGTCGTGTACCCTTAGTTTCTGATTGGTTGCTTTCAGGGCATTGTTTCTGCCAGCACCAGGCAGGGTTCATTGTGTTGGTTTTGCAACGGGCCTACACTGAATAGTGAAATCGAATGAGGTCCAATGATCCCTAGTTGCATGATCTGCACAAGGCACAAGAAAATGCTCGGCAAAAATTGTGTGGAATATTAAAGCAAGCGACTGGCTGAAGCTCGGCAGCTGAGACAGGGCGGCTGGCACAGTGTTTTCGGCGTTCGGGACTGTGCATACATATGAACTGAGGGGTTTATCAGCTGATAGCAAGGATCGGCTCTATCAGCTTATCGAGCCCTGAGAAGATCAGGCAAATCTGTTGACTACAGAGCATACGGAGGCTTGTCTTCCAACGTCTTGGGTGACGTTACATCGGTGGTCTCTGCACCTTTCATTGAACACACCTTCGATACGTCATCCAAGGTCGTGATGTGTTGTGCCTTCAGCGTTCTGAGTGCTACTGCCGAGCTCTCATGAGTTTGAGTGCGAAACGAAGTTGAAGAGTATTGTGCCCGGCTGAGCTCTACGCAGCTAGGCAATATGGGAATCAAGGGGCTCCTAGGCTCGCTCAAGCCATATGTTGAACCAGTCCATGTCAGCAAGTACGCCGGCCAGCGGGTAAGCCCATCTTTCTGCATTTGACTGAGTTTTGCAAAATCTGAGGAGGATGCGGCAGCTGATCAACTTTTAGGCTTTCAATAATGATGCACTTGCACTGAGTTTCTGCCAATAAAGTACTTCCCTTCTTTTCCTCAGAAGCTGCATTGCAAGAGCGTTTCTGCTTGTGATAAGAGAAAGTCCGTTGGGAGTCTTCAAGCATGGATGCGACTTAAGATCTGTGGCTCCTGATTCCCTCAGATTACTGTATCCTTGTATCTGTGCTTGTGCCCAAAAACCTTGCCACGAGAGCAGGCCGGCAATTGTAGTTGGTTAAATTTCAGCAACTACAAACGAGCACCGGAAGGTGGTATTACAGCTTGATGACTAACGTCAGAATTCCGCCAGCAATCAAACTTCAGTTGACTTGAGCACCCCAGAAACAGCCCAACCAACCAGTATAGCTCCCCAAAGCTTTGTCAATCTTTGAAAACAATGGAGACACTCCTACAACAATTGAAAGCTGCGGCCTACTTTTGCAGGTCGGCATAGACTGCTACTCGTGGCTCCATAAAGGCGCATACGCATGCAGCCGCGAACTACTGGAAAGCGGGGGGCTGATTAACGGTCCCCGGATGCCGGCATATGTAGCATACTGTGCACATCGCATTCAGATGCTCAAGCACAATAAGGTCGTCCCTGTCGTCGTCTTTGATGGGGCGCGCCTGCCAATGAAGGCCGGCACAGAAGCGGAACGGCGGCGGTAAGGCTGGTTGGAGTGTAGAGAGTTTGAGAATGTGATAAAGGAGACTTGATTCGAAGCTGAACGAACGGCATCAAAGAGGCCAGAAGTGCTAGACTGCTTGTTGACACTCCGAACCTGGCAAAAGGAGCAAAGGGCTAGTAGAAGGTCAAGTCAACCAACAGGTGTCATTGCGTGCTTACTGGCTCCAGAAGCCAAGTTTCCTGATCACACAGGCCCAGATTAGACCTGAAACATCGGCTTTGATATTGCTATTTGAACCATGTCCAACCGCGTCGCAATGCTGTACACGTACCACCGAAGCTGACAACTTCTTTGTCCTTGAACATTTTCCTACTGCCCAGTACAGCAATGTTATTCCTTGGTGCAGGAACAAGAACAACAGCTTAGAAGAAGCTCGCGCCAAGTTGGCGGCGGGAGATGAGCGTGGAGCAGAAGAGGCCTTCCAAGTGAGCCATGCTGCGGTTCTGACTCTGCACTGGTTCGATTGCTCTTGTTAAGAACCAGTTTTGGCATTGGGGCCTTCCGGTACTTCCGAAAGCCTGCCTTCTTGAATGAGGCGCACCTTTATTGGTGACAGAGGTGCTGAAAGTCATTGGCTCCTTCGAAAAGTGGTTGGGTGCTTCCTGGAGTACTATCAACGTCCGAGCTACGCCAAAAACCCGATCAAGACATTTAAAGAGCTTAAAGTCAGTCAATTGTGTCTGAATCAGGTCTGGAAAAACGTTTGGTTTTTGGCACCGTCTGGCTTCTGTGATAAGTTTTCCATCCCCCCACAGATCGACCTTTTTCCATTAGAATATACTTTCTTTGCATCTCTCTGCCTGGACGATCAATCGTCTGGGCCGCACCAACCAATCAAATGCGTCGTCATCAGATCCTTTCAAACTGGTGGTTGGTCCAATCTGCCAGCACCAAAGATAATGACGGACTCTCCTCATCTGCAGAGGTCGGTCGACATCACGCCTCAAATGGCACTCCAAGTCATGAAGTACCTGAGGAGGGAGGGGGTCGACTTCATTGTGGCACCTTACGAAGCGGACGCGCAACTTGCTGCACTGGCAAGCGCCGGCAAGGAGAATGGGGGGATCGCTGCCGTCATCACTGAAGATAGTGATCTCCTTGCTTATGGATGCAGCACGGTGAGAAGGGAGAAAACAAAGCGACCAGCGTCAAAAGGGACGCGCAAATATTTGGCCTTGCTCTTGAGAGTGTTCTTGAGGCTTCCAATTCTGACTTCCTTTCTACGTGAATCTGCTGGGTCTGAAGTGTGGAACCTCTGAGTACCAAGATTCTAGATGGGTGTAACAAAGCTTTCAAAAATTCCACAAATTAGAGCAGAGGAGTCTCGTGGAGGGAGACTGATCTTGTGCTGTTTTGGCCGCTGCTTCTTAGCTCGAGTGTGGGAAGCCGGCAGTAGTCTTAGCGAAATCTGCGGACATGAGGACTGCAGTTAGAAGAGAGACCAAACGATGTGCAAGTCTTAGCGAAGCGAAGGTGCTGCAATGAAATTGCCTTCTCCCAGCTACGCTACTCCCTTGCTTTCATATCTTAGTAGATCCTCTAAGCTAACCGTCCCCGCTGCTTGTCCTGAAAAGAGATCTTTTTTTTTTCGGCCCTGTCAAAGGATGCTCGTCACCTGAACCGCTTCTTCCATAACGCTCCGTCGTCCGTGCTCAACTTCTGTCCAATGCTGACGTCAGGTGCTGTATAAGATGGACAAGTACGGTAACGCCGAGGAGATCTCCACCGAGCGCCTCTTCTCGAGCATCGGACACGGCAGCCAGGGGCCGAGTCAGGCGTCATCAGGACGTCAGCAAGGGGGCACGTGCCTCTCCTTCCGGCACTTCAACCAGGAGCTCTTTCTAGGTACGGACTCCCGCGACCGTTCCTTTCTGTCTTATGAAAGCAACGCGTTTTTGCGCCTCTACCCACAAAGATGTTCTCAGCCCCTTGTCCCATTCTTCCCGTGCTTTTACCGCTGTGCTTCTTGGTAACATAGCAGTTTCGGCTACTCTGCTTCAGGCGGTCAACTCAAACTGGTCACACGACAGTAACTACACCCAAACACCAAATCACGCAAGGATCTAATTCTCATTGTGTCCCGGGGCCTCCGAAGCCGGTGGATTCGGACGCTGCTCTCAGCTCCTCGTTCGGACGCAGTCCCCCGCCGTTCTCATCTCGCTTTTCGCTCCGTCCAGGCATGTGCATCCTAGCTGGGTGCGACTTCCTGCCGTCGATTCCCGGCATCGGGATCAGCAAGGCGCACGCGGTGGTCAACAAGTACCGCAATGTGGACCGGGTGAGAAGCACATCTGATTGGAACGGCTTCCAAGTCTGGTCTTCAACTTCGATCTTTGTTTTTTTAGGGGCTTCCGATGAGAGTGCCTCGATCAACTTGGCCAGAACGCCTTTCATTTGCGGAGGCAATGGTAGCGGCATTAAGCATCGTGTCCATTTCTGCGACCCATTGCCCTTTACTTTTCCTTGATAGTCGCCGTAAAGAATCATGTGGGCCAAGAACCGCAGCCTTCCGAACTTCATATCACGTATTCACATGTCGCCGAAAAGCAAGCCGCGTTAAGCAGCCTACAGCTGAGGAGGCGAAGGGCAAGCGCGTCGCTGACTAGAATTTAGGAGCCTCCGAGGACGCTGAACAGACAAACAGTGACGTCACATCCTTGGAGAAGCTCATTAGCAGCTCTCCTTTGCGGAAGGCTTTGCCAACGGCTTCGGTTTTGCATCGCCCTAAGTCCTGACTCCGGGCAGCCGGGCTACAGATGGTAGTCACCCTTTATCTAGACCTCGAATGTGCTAGCTATTACCAGGCACTATCACTTGACTTGCTCTATTCGATATGCCGATAAAAGAACGCGTTGTAGCGCTTTTTGAGCAAGCTGCCGGTTGTCAAGAGTGTGCGCATCCTAGAGTTGAAACGACTAAGCCAATCACGTAGAGACAACTCACTTCGATTATCTTTTCACCTTTCCTTTCCACCTAAAACCGGCAGGTTACTTGAAAAGTTCTAACTCGTGTTCGCAGGCGCTCTCGCGGCTCAAACTGGACGCCAAGCTGGTGGTCCCCCCAGGGTACGCGCGCGAGTACGCGCGCGCGCGCGCCACGTTCGCGCATGCCAGGGTGTATGATCCGGCCTCCAAGCGACTCGTGCACCTCAACCCGCTGCCCGAGGGCTTTGCGGAGGGGTTTGGGGGCGACATCGACTTCCTGGGACCGTATCCTGGCTGTCGATCTTGCTGCTTCTATCAAGCCTTTTGCCTGCAGGATTTTGCCTCCGTTTTAATCTACAACCTCTAGAACTTGTCACAGATTTGGGTCCTGTTGGTGAAAAGAAGCCATGCAGACTTTACGAGGGAGGTTTAGCCTAAGACATACACGAGGTGCAGTTTGACGACTTGAGTCCACAAATCTTGACGTAACTCTCGAAATGCGGACTTGTTCTCCCCGCAATGGAAGTAGACGCTGTGCGCCAGACTTGACACTCCTTACACACTGCCAGAATGTTTTGAAGTCACCAGTCAAGGACTCTAACAGGTGTGCCATCTTCATCTTTGTCTCTACTTGACTCGCCCTCTTCACACCGCCAGAGACATGTCCCCCTCCACCGCAAGAGCCATTGCCGAGGGGCGTGTGAATCCGCTCACAATGGAGGCTTTCCCCCGCACAGAAGCGGACACGTGGTTGACCAGGGTTCCGAGAGCAGGGGCCACGTGGCAGGGAGTTAGCGCGCACCAGGGCGCCACGTGGTGGTCAGGCAAGAGCCCGAAGAAGGCTAAGGGCTCGCCAAGAAGCAAGGCGACTCCGGCGGGAAGAAGACCTGCGCATGTGGTGAGCCCCTTTGCCTCTCTTCTTACACACGAATGAAGTGCGGTTTCACGAAGTTGTCTTAGAGATTTTCTGACCAACAACACGTATAATGCCCTCGTTGTTCTCGACGCGGATAAAGCGGTTCCACATGAATGCCGCGGCTAGAGAGACCTCTGCTTGTTGACGTTGCCAGCGTACTTTCTGGAGTTAGCTTCAACTGCTGCGGCGCCTTTACTGCCCGGTCATACGTTCAACCAGCGCTCATCTTTGCCACATTATGATGCCTCCACAATCCGTCTCGTCTCAGTACAGATTTGTTCGCCTGGGCTCATTACCCTTCTTCATCACCTAGTTCAATGGGAAGGGGTCAGCGCCTCTTTGCCCTGGTTAACAATGCCGGAATAACCTGACTCGAATCTGTCCCCGGTGTCTCAATTTCCTTCTTTCTTTCTTTTCAGGATCTGGAATCGGACGCCGACCCTTCCCCGATCAGACGTCCAGAGCCCGAAGCGCCCCCCCGCCCCAGGCCCCCAGCCACCGTCGATCTGAGCGCCTTCCGCAACTTCGCGGTCCCTCGAAGCCGGGGTTTAGGGCTTAACCAACCCTCGTCCAACCCGTCGCAAGCGGGATCCCTCGATCCGACGGAATTCGGTGCGGACAGAGTCCGGACGAACGGCAGTCCGGACCGGAACCGGAAGGCGGTTTACGAGGGAGACGTTGGATTTGGTCACTTCCGGGAAGAGAGCGGTATGGTGGGATTTGACGGGAACGAGCCCCCTGACGTCAGCATGGAGGAGTCAGAAGAGTTTTGGGGGACACAACTGGAGCCGCGTCAGCAATCACGTCAGCAGGAGAGCGAGCCGGTCTCCTCTCGACCAGTCCTTTTGGACCTCCCCCGAAATCCGTTCAAGCGGCGGGCAGACGAGCCGGCGAGCGGAACCGGCTGGGTGCGCCAGCTGACCACTATCGCGCCCAAACCTCGCAAACCCTTGTCTTCCAAACCGCCTCGTTATCTAAACCCGTTCGCCGTCAGAACCCGGGTTGCAGAGGAGGGGGCACGGTTTCAGGAGCAGAAGGTCAGCCCATTCTTTGCGAAGCCGGCAAGCCCGCCCTCGAAACCGCCCTCTGACCCGCTCTCGAGAGCATCCTTTAACCCGCCCTCTAATCCGCCCTCTAACCCGCATTTGACGTCCCGCGCGAAACCCGCTGCAAATTTTCCCAGAAGCGTGGTTTCAGCGCGTGACGTGGGTGCCGGAGAACCCGTGTGCCGCGTTCCGGAGGGGCAAGCGATGTCCCCTTTCCAAACAAAGAGACCGCGAAAGATGGGCGCCGGGCCCATTGCGGACTTCTCGAAAAGTCCGAAACCTGTGCCTGCCAAAAAGAGGTTGCTTGACGACGAGTGTCCATTGGGCGGTGAGGCTCCGTCAACGGAAGAGCGGAACGCTGCCGGAGAGCGGCGGAACCAGAGGTCGGAAGGTTCCGCAGCTCCGTCCGAGAGCCTGACGAAACCGTCGGACTGCGCCGTGGGGGACGGCTCCGAAGAACTAGGGCGACTCGACTCAAAGCCCTCGGAAGGGGACGAGCGAGGCCCGCCGGAGCATCCTGCGGAAGGCCCTCTAAAGGATCCCCAAAGCTGCCCTGTGAGCAGTGCGCCGCAAAATCCTTTAGCAGACTCCTCGGAAGCGGATCAACAGTGGAACGGATCAGAAGATCGACAAGACTCTCATCGCGACGTTCCGGCGCCGCCAGCTCCCGTTCCGGCCGCCTCTTCTCCGGAAACCAGCGTTCCGTTCTTCGGGCCTTCGCTGGACTCGAACCCGGAATTCCGTTCGGATTGCGGCAGCCAGGAGGCCGTCCTGAGCACGCCGTCGGAGGAGCTCGAGCCCGCGGAACCTTTTAACGTTCCGGAGGAAGCTTTGGCGCGCGGGCTGGGGGAGAACTCTTTAGAGGGGCTGCAGAGCACGTGGGCGGCGACGGCCGCGTCGCAAGCAGCGGCTGATGCCGGTCGGGAAAGGACGGTTATGAGTGACCAGGGATTTGCTCACGTTCACAGGATGTCAGCGAGCGGAGTCAACGGTGTCCGGCGGGAGCGAGGAGCGACGGAATCCGCTGGAGCAGCGGAACCGGTATGCGGTGCCGCAGCGGGGCAGGCATTTGTAGAGTCTAACTCGGGATCTGTTCTGGACGAGGACTGCGTCGCAATGGAGGAGGAGGTTCGGCCGGGCTCGGAAGCGGTGTTAGGAACGAGAGAGATCTGGGGCGCGGCAAACGTTGTCCAGGAGAACGAACGAACCGAGCTTCGTGCGAGAGGACAGCTTCAAAAATGCCCAGTAGACGATAGAGTGGATGGTCAGAAAGACGCCGCGGCTGTTGATCAAGTCGAGCAGTTTGAAACTAATGGGCAAGTCGGAAAAGAATCAGTAGATTTCAAGCGAGTCGAAGCGTCAGCACAAAGCAGGAAAGTAGATGAGGGTACTGTGTTGAACGGGTTGATTGATCTTGAGAGCGTCGAGTTGCGCGGCCCATCGAGTTTGGTGCGCCTCTCGCGGCCGATGGTTCCTCGGAGGCAAACCGTGAAGCCCAGCAGCATTTTGAACTTCTTCAAACCCGTAAAGGTGCCGGAAGGGGGGGAAGAAAGGCCTGGCAAAAGGTCAATTGTCGAGAGTCGAGGAACGAACAGAAAGCTAGGACCGAGTGTTCGTAAGAAGCACAAAAGATAACAGCTGGAATTTCCGTCCGGTATTGCAGTAAGAGCATCCTCCAGGTCTTTCAATTGTCTAAGAATCACATGTTTCTTGCATCTCTGAAAGTCAATTTGGCAAACAGCCCCACTGTATCTTTCGGTGTCCGCGAAGATGATGTTTATTCTTCACTATTCAACTGAGTGTTCGACAGGTTCAAAGTGCTGCTGGGGGTCATACAGCCAACACGTATGCTTGTCAGATTGCGCATCGCAGGTTTCCAGGCCAAGCTTGGATAGGTGTGGAGGTTTGAGAACTGCAGTATTTACCCTTACCAAGCAAGCTAGCTAGCATTGTGAAGTGCCCAGCCAGCCATCGGAGTAAACACTGTTACCATCTCCACTACTGACCTGTGCACGCGCTATATTTTGCAAAGGACATTGCATGAGGGCGCGGGGCGTCTGCCGCGAACCCTGCACATATCTTGCACCCCGCACGTTATCCACTGGCTTCACGACGCGACTGCACGATTTTGCTGCAGCTGGGCCAAGTCTGGATAATACTTACACACCTTGAAGTCATATGCATGGCTGACTCAATATCTGCATGGTTTGCAATTCAGTGCAAGCCGCCCTTAACTTGAACTCAAGTTGCTTCCATTCAATGTGCGAAGCGGGATTCGATTGCATGGCTTGATATATTCGATCTTGCATGCGCGGCGGTCATGCGCTTATACAACGGTGGTATAGAATTGTACTTCATCTATTTGTCGACCGATCGCGCCCGGTTGAGTCCATGTAAGAAGATACTTAATGTAATTAGGAAGAGCTATATGCGTGCACTGTAGGAAAAGCAGGGGTTAATCTATCCCTGTTTTTGCTTTGAATAAAACTTATTAATAAGTATCAGACCGTCCTCGATCATGTACCTAGTTGTTTCGGGTCATGTACAGCTGGCTTGATCACGATCAATGATTGAAGCGGTAGTACATTCAACGCAGAAAGATATTCATAGGAGAGATGGTTTTCGTGTAGGGGACTCAACACTCAGTGGAATCAAGATCTGATATACTGTTCAACTGTCTTTCAGAATCCAGAACCTTATCTCTAACACTGCAACTGTCACAACATCCTGTCGGACTAGATGATGCCACGACAAGATAAAAAGTTCTCAGGAGTAGTCACTAGCAACGAATAACACGAATGCTTCGGACGTCAGCAATGAATGTTGTCCTCATCCATTTGTTGTTGATCGAGCAGTTATTGTCAATATAGCAACGGCACTTTACCAGGTACGTGTAGATCTAATGAACCTACTCAGTGAGCTGGCCAACACGAACCCGTTTAATCCCTCTAAACATACCTGTTGCGTCAAACTACTTATAGGACCTTGATGAAGTCAGGATTCTGGCGGGGTACTTCGTTAAAACCCCATGAGTCTTGCGAACTACGTTCGCTCGAAAGTCATCACAGAGCAAAAGCGTTCTTCTCAGTGCTCAGATTTACTCCTGATTTTCAAACTGGGGCAATTGCCGGAGATGCTTATGTCGAGCAAGCTTCAACCTGGATAGTTGCAGCCCGAAGGGTCCCCTTAGAGTCAATTGTAAAATACTTTGCCCAAGCAATGACGTTGCCTACAACACAAATGTTTGCCACCGAGACCTGCTCCTTATCGGGCCACGTAGTCAGGGCCCGCTCAGCCGTTTCATAAGACTCCGAGTAGACGTCATCAATGCTCTTCCGACTTCTGGGGTCAGCTTCACTGACTGTAAATTCCAGACTTCTCAGCTGGCAGCCTGCTTTGGCAGCGGGAATTTTGACCTTGAGTATGCTGGAGAGCCTTTGCCACGCTTTTTCGTCCTTTTCTCTATCGTTCTGGAATCGTTTTACCTCTCCCCAATCATCTTTTACTCTATAAGCCTTTGGAGAGACATGTACAGGAGGCGAGCGCAGTGCAGCCGCCTTCACGCAGGTTATTCTGACGATTAAGGCATCCCCCCCGCGCTTGCACAACAGATCAGCCTTGTCCTGGCCTTCGGTCACATATGGCTCGACCACAAACCCTTTCAGAATAAAGTAGGATGCGAAGGCCATTTTGATGGCCACAGTATTCACCCCAGACGTCGGGCTAAAATCCCCCGGGTTCCTATGGTACTTACTTCCCAAATTGAGACCAGAAAGTACCTTTTGAAAATACGTGAGTGCCTGCCACCGGAAGGTTCCACTACTGTCACAAGTCGGAATATCTGCGCTCTCGTTGATTGACGCCATTAGCGAGAAGTTCGGGCCCCCCACTTGCACAACTAACAGCCGAGATCATGAAATTCGAATCGTGTTGATTCCGCTACTGGCTCTGCATCTTTTGTTGCAGGGCAGGGACGTGGTAAATCAAACAGACGTTCACCTAGTAGTAATCGAGCTTGTAGGTATGGCGAAATACATTCTAAAGCTGTGAAGCCATCCGCCGCCTCAAACGTTCTTCACATTTTCAAAGTTGCCAGTAGTAGTACTAGCTAGCGCTGCAGCCAGCTTACATAAGATTTCGCAGGCTGACCGCGGCCGGCTGAAGCGATAGGATATAAGTTCAGGACTGGACGACTAGGCATCATGCATCCAGAACGGCATTGCCGTCCTGCGAGACGATGTTGACTGTCTCGTTCTCATCGCCGGCTCCTGTATACATGCAGTCTCACGTGCAGCTCAAGCACGTTGCAGAGAAAATATAAGATGACGGATCGGGACCGATAATGACTCAAAAGTCAACTCTGAGAGTCTTATTGTCAAGCTCCTATTAGCAGCTGACGGCGTTTTCAGACTTTCCAGGACACGCGTACAGGCCCGGCCGGGCAGTAGTGGTTCAACTTGACAAGTTGTCATACCGTATACCTGATTGTTCGAGGCTGAGTCGTTCGAGTCAAACCTGCCAATACGGTCACAGCCGTACGATGACAACCGCGACGAGTATCTTACGGTCTAAGCCTGACCATCCTGTGCTGACGCGCGCACCATTCCATCATGCACAATAGCATGAAGCAGCAAAAGCTAGATTCATATGACAAGCATGCCAATCTTCATGCAAGCATATGAGTCTTCTCAATTTATACGGCATGAGATATTCCGGTTTGCCTTCCTGTCCTCAATCATGCACAATAGCACAATCACACTGACCCGTGGCCTTGAACGCCGCACTGAATGCAGCTCAGCATGGGCCCGGCCGACTGGCTACACGAGTCGCAGGATAGGTATCCTGGCCAGTGCGATCTGACTCGATCCGGCCGAATCCGGCGCTTGTCTCTAATCTGTCGATCGCATTGAATGTTAGTATTTGGATGCACAGATGCACGACTGCAAACGCTGGCAGGAGACTGGCCTCTTTAATTTGTAAAGTGCACCAGAAGCAATATGGACTTCCAGGCCCCGAATAATGATTGAATGACGTTGCCCAGTGGCCAGCATGAGCGGAGGCTCTTCGCAACGAGATGCTCAAGTTTCACGAATGAGCAGGGTCGAAGAACGTGCAGAGGTGCCGCCTGAGCCTGACAATCTGCAGATTGTGGTTAAGCGGGCAAAGGCGGAATCTGTGCAAGGAAATTCTTATGATGAAAGTACTGACAACCTAGCTTCCGCCAATCCCACAATGCGCATGCCCTAGTAGGTGAATACACGGAGCGCCCAGCGATCTTTTGCCAATTGCCGACGGAACCGGATGCGGTGGATCTCAAAGCGGCAACACCTCCGAGCAGATTTTAAGGGCTTCGACATAGCGGCAGATTATTTTCACTTTTCTCGAACCTGTCTTCGGGTCGCAAATTTGCAGCTTTTTGATCACATAATGGCCACCCCTAGCAGCGTGTCTGAAAGGAAACTAATGAGCATACCAGACGTTTTCGAAGGAGGCATAAAGAATCTGCAAGACGTTCTCAAGAGTCTTCATAAGGGAGCGGCCTCAGACAATGTAGGGGACTTCGAAATGGCAGAAGAAGGCGTCAACGAAGTGGGGGTCAAGATGGCTTTTGCATCATACTTCGTGGCGCAAGGATTCAGTTTCAAATCCGAAGATCATCTAGAACCTCTGGAGAATTCTTACCGTTCCGGGTACATTGATATGCTTTGTAAGCGCGGCTCGGACACTCTGATCGTCGAGTGTAAGTGCGCAAGGGCGGGTTACCTGGAGCGAGTGTCGGACGTTCTGGGGGGGCAAACCGAGGAGAGGAGCATTCAGGGAAAATGGGGACAGCTTATTGAGTCTGATTCTGTTGACAGAGAGGCTATCAAAGCGAGGGTGGACCAGATTTTGACGGATCTGCCAGACATGAAGGAAGACGAGATCATGGCCCTCTGGCATCAGTTCACAGCTAAGGGTCCAGACTCTAAATTCAAGGAGAGTGTTAGCACTCTTCACTTTAAAGATTTGCAAGGCCTCTCACATCATTGGGACCTTTATCAGAAGAAGCTGAAAAGCGAAGAACGAGTCTTTCTGGCCAGTGTTGGCGTTGTGGGCAACGTCATCGCCTGGTGGGATCTTTGGGATAAATTACGTCCAGAAAGCCACAGATCAAACGTTACGGGTGGGCGGTCCGTTGGACAGCTACTGCAGCTGCGAAGCAACTCACCAATAGCGGACGTGCCAGCAGAACTAGCTTCAACGAAGAAAGAGCCCGACAGCCTGGCATTGAAAAACATGAGCATTTCCGATTAAACATAGTTATCTATTGCCTAAGTAAAAGCGTCCCGTTATGGTCAGCAGACTCGTTTGGAAAATCTAGGAAGGTCCACTGATAGAGCTATTCAATCTTGGTCAAGATATCATTTTTGTCTAACGGACCTCCGACAATCTTGTCTCTAACAAGGACCAGTGACAGCCTGTCTACACTTAAAGGCTTGACTAGGTGCCCCAGAGTAACATGCAGTGATTGCTTAGTAATTTCAACTATAACGAAAACATCATGCAGTGTTTTAAGATCAGCCTATCGATTCAATCTGGTACAACATATATGTTAATTTATTTTGATTAACCTAAGGGTATTGGTCTGAAAGGCGGAATAGCTTGACTCTACGCCATTGATCCAATCTGTGGTCATTATTGGAACATGACTTGAAGAAGGCATAGGCGGGCTTTATCTTAGATCGGCCCTTTCAGGGAATAGCACGCATGTTCGATCTACGTCCAAGGCCGGTACCTTCTGAATGCGACGAACTAAAAGAAGCTTGAAAGGTTTACGAGTGCGCATACTTTTGGATTAAAAAGCATACTTTGCTGTTGCTACAGATGTGTTTATGCATGAACAAATCCCCAAAAACGGTCAAAGGCGGCGCGTCATCCTTTTCGGCCGTCTCGAGTCTGAGTTCAACACACGATGAGAGCAAGTACTTAAGGATTTGAGATGACTCGATATTTCGTTCTTCTGATCGGACAAACCTTATTCTTGGAGTTACAGGTGTTCACCCATATTTAGTCACTTAACCGGAACGCTGCTTGTTAGACCGTGTGCTTGGCTAGTACTCGGCTCTGAATAAAGAGCAACAGTACTGGAGGACGCATGCAACGACAGTAACACGAATCTTATTGCTGTCGCATGCGTCGCAGTCCTGATGAATCTTGTCCATGTACAAGGACCGAGGAAGCACGCTTCGTCAGCTTTCACGCATGAACGTGATCGAAAGGAGTCTGCCGCTAGAAAAAGCTCAACTCGTTTTGCCCCAATGGCCCCACTGGAGAGTCCTTGTTGTCCGACTTGTGACTGACGACCCAGAGCACAAGACTACAGATGGCCGATATTCATGGAGCTTGGGCGCTACTCGGAGTCGGACTCCGCTCCTCCGTGCAATCTGTCGAACTCGTCAAGCTCCTTGACAGCTTTCTTATCCTCCTCAACCACAACCTCCTGCCAAGAAACCACAAACGCGCGTTCAGCCCTCCAGCAGTCCTCGAAATGTTCGGGGGCATTTGAAAGCCCGGTTCCAGTTGCGCAAAGTGCGGGTCCGCGGCGCTCTTGCGGTACAAAAGCAAATCAGAGCCTGACACTCGTCCCAGTCGGCTTGTTGTTGACTTTCGTTGCTTGTCTCTCGGAAAAGATTGCAACAGGCGTTTCCGCGAACGGTCTCTGCTCGCCCTTCAGGGTATTCTTTTGCGAACACTCCTCAGGAGGGAGTTCGTTGAAGGTCCAAATATATCCACTCTGATAGCCAGGTGAGTCAAAGTGCGAAAAGCAAATCCAATTCGTAAGTGCACGGCCTTCGAACGTTGAAGAAACAAATGCGCGAACGATACGATATTGTGATGGCAAGATCACTGCATTCAATTGTTCGCTTCAAGCGTAATCTGAAAGCTTTGAGAAAAGGGTCTCTCAAGACATGGTACCTAAAGCTTACTTCTTCTGATGGTGGGGGCGGTACGCCCCTCGACCGAGCTGAGAGCGGTCTCTTGGGCTGCTTCGCCTGGCCTACTGGGGAGTTGTTGGCGGATGCGGCTGCAAAGGTTGACGAATTGAAGGACGTCAATTATGCAGGCTGAAACAACGCTCCGTTCCCAGAGGTAGCAGCTGGGTGGTTGAAATGTTTAGACTGTGCCTCTGAACTTGGGAGTATCCTTTCTTCTATGCTTGGCTTGTGCATGCCGATTTGTGTCCACGACAATTGACTTAGATCGGCTGTCTTTTCAATGCAACGATGCTTCTTACAAATCTGCTCAGGAGCTGATCGTCGAGCTCAGCCGTGCTGAGCCGTGCTAAAACCTAGTGTTCTTTTCGAGGATGTTGACATGTTGCTACATCCGCAGAATACATTCGCAGCATATGTGCAGACAACTAGCCAACAAAACCATCTGAAGCGGGCTGTACCATATTAACAAGGCTTACACGAAAGTCTCTTGTATATATGTTTCTCTCATTAACACCTTCTGTATTAAAAGCAGTGCTTCTTGAACTTCGACGTTGCTTTTCCGGAAGGTGCACCACCCATCACCACTATCCAGGAAGAAGGCAAGTAAAAGCTCGTACCTTTTCGCCGACCAGAAAGGTGCACATGAGGAGCAGGGGCAATCAGCGACGACTTCTTGTTCTCTAGCCGGGCCTCGAACTTGTTTATCTCTGCAGGAGAGACCATGTCGCACTCCCTGTTACATTCTTTCGCAAGGAGTGAGTGGCTTAAGACCTTGTCTTTCTTGCACTTCAACTACCAACATACCTGAAAGCATGTACAGTCAACTAAAATGCTTGGGCATCTCCTCCCAAGCTTTTCCGCCAGCTGGCGACAAAGTTGGTTGAAAATGCAATCAATCAAAGCCGGCAAACCACCAGGGTTCATACAGACAGGTAACAAAAGGTGTCATTTGCAGTCCGCACTTTTGGGCTGCCTTTCGAGAGTGAGCGGATTCCTTTGAGCTATGATTTTGCTTGTCCTTTCTTCATTACTGCGCTGAATTGACAAAGTTACATGATGTGAGCCCATTTTCTAAACAAAACTTCAGGCAGCCCATAAGACTCTCAGGACACATACTTTTGCGGTCTTACGCCTTAAACAACGAGGTTATCAGAATAGCTTTTCATACACCGCAAAGAGAGAAGCAGCTCAAGGGCCGCCTCATAAGATGCCATTCTGGAGCTGTCTTGTACTGTCGACCTATTTGCAATCGCCTGGAAAGAGCATTTCTGAATCCGTCTGAAGGATTCCTCACCAGCTTGTGCCTGGTTCGGATCCTCTTTATCCATCACATAAGTTTCGTCCATCTTGCTGAATGTTTGGTCCCGAATCTGCAGAGTGCAACAGTATATCTGTTGCAAATGTGAGCTAGTAAGCAGAGAGCAATGCTGGTCCGCTCGACCTTTATGGGAATGAGAGCCCTTTGAGGAAGATGCTAGCTGGAGCTCGGCCTTAGACGGACCTTAGACAGACTCGTGACTGCCCTTCGACCCTTGTGCTCTTCAGCAAGAGAACTTTTCTCGGAATCTTAGAACGCAGCTTCTCCCTGCATTCGCAGAAAGCAAAGAAGCTTAGATCAGCATCGATCGGCACACCTTCCTCACCAAACCGTGGAGTCGCTCCTGTGAGCGGTAGCAAATCTTATTCTGCGACCTTTCATTGATGCAAAAGCAGTGGGAATCAGACTTTCTTCAGAAGACATAGGGGTACAGGCACGATGATGACCGGAGAGAAACCGCGCCGGTAATCCTCGTGTGACTTAACGGGCGTTTGACCAAAGATACGAGTTACCCGGGCACTTCAAACTGAAGACCTATTTACACCCAGTTTATCCCCAAACAATCACCCGCTCCGCACCCCAACCCACCCTAACCACCCAGCTAACCCCACCCGTCTCCCGGGCACCTAGCTTAGGTGACGTGCTCCTTAGGTCACACAAGAGTAATATCGGAGTACCGGAAAGAAGCAGCGCGGCAGGTCCGTCAGCGACGGTCTCTCCCCAAGTTCAGTGCTAGAGCTATGGCAAGATATTCCTGAATCAAACGGTGTGCATGAAAACGAGGACCGCGCGCGGAGGAATCTGACAAAATATCTCGGGCGGGTTTGTGAAACGGTTTCTGGTAAACTGCAGACATCTATCGAACGACAGTATGGCCTGGTTGAGTCTGCTAGCATTCGACGGGGCTTCGAAGTTGACGCCTGCAATCTCAGATTATCTCTGCATGACACAGCAGAAATTCTCGTGCCACGTTGGCAAATCTTCAAATCCACAATGGCTAACCCTGTGCTAACCCTTCTCTTAAGACTCCACCCTTATAGGGCCCTCGGTTGAATACCCCGGGGTAAGACAGCAGCACAAAGTTCTACCTAGTCTGCGCCTGATGCGCAGGCTGCAGCGACAACATTGCCCTGGGGACCAAAAGCGGGCCAAAGTCGTGAGGAGGGAGCCCGGTTTACAAGATAACCTCACGACAGTTGTACCTAGCCTAGCTAGCATTGGCAAGGACCTAGCACGCAGAAAAGTAGAGACAGAAAAAGTCCACACCAAGAAGCGCGGAATTAGGTGTTTGCGTTAGCGGTGTGAATCTGCGTGTCAGTCTTTGTGCTGATCGAACAGTGAACAGAGCTGTGAACAGAGGGCGCCACATTCCGCATTCTCTCCACATTCTCCTCAGCAAGAGCGGCAGAGGCGAGAAGTCGGTGTGGTGCCCAGAGCGTGGCACCTGACTCTGCGCATTGTGGTTGATAAAGAACCAGGATGGCGGCCAATTCAGCTCTCCTGGTTCGGCAATCCGTGCAAGCATTCTCTCTTGCCAGCACCTCGGTCAACTCAAGAAGCACTGCAGCCGCAGCTCTGCAGGTTCCTGGGAGGAATGGCACCCAACTCCTTCCAGCCAGATTGTCCAGCGTGACTTCCACTTTTCAGGGGATCATGTGTGGCTTTGATAAAGCAGTCAACCTGGGAGGTACGAAGAAGCCTGCAGGGGTGTGCATGGCTTGGGGGGGTTCGCTGGCGTCAGTGAGGCTGATCATCCAGGGGAAGCACATGGACGTGAGTAGCAGATGCTCATTTTCTACATAATCGATCACTTCATCCGCCTTGTCAGCAAATGTGGTTTGACAGCTACAGCTTGATAATGCTTCTATGATTGCCCCATTCTGACGGTCTTTCTGCAGAAGGTTGTGGCGTGACTATCAAATGTATGGGTTGACTGGTAGTCTGCTCAGCAACTCTCTGAATTGAGCGGTCTTACGGACCCTTCCGACAGAGTAAAAGCAGAGAATCTAATGGCATCATGCAGTAGAGATGAATTTTGACACTTTGTGCACCTAGAGAATGCAGCAGACAAGCCGCTTCACGCTTATGGCAATTTAAGTGCTTGAATGAGCGAAGCTGCGACGCTTCTGCATTTGCAATTTCCGTCAATGTGAGCATGCGGGTTGTTATCATTGAAGTGAGTTGCATTTTGTAGCTGAGCTAGGAAGAATTGAACATGCTGCTCGCATTTGAAGCTTTTTGGTTGATTCCAAATGCTTCCCTTCTCTTCCTATAAATAGGTGCTCACATCTAGTTCATCCGATTGTAAAGGCTCCTCAAGGTAGAAGTGTGCGGCCAATGATTGTTTCCCTTCTTATGAGCCGCAAACTAATAACTTTCTATTCTGGAAAGTTGTGCTCCTTTGCTATTTGATTTCACTTTTATCTTTGATGTTTGCTGGACATGTGAATTGACGAAAAACGGGTTTTTGGATGAAACAGCTGGTGGTCGAGAACTCAAGAAACTTTAGAGCTGAAGGAGTGAATGCAACAAATAACCGGCTGCTCAGCTCAATCAAGACAGTAACACAGTGCTTTTCTCATATCTGTTTCTCATGCTATTCGGCAGTTGACGGACTCGATCAAGGCTTACATTGAGGAGAAGATTGGGAAGGCCGTAGAGAAGCATGTCCAGCTGGTGCGCGAAGTTGACGTGCGATTATCGACGAGGGGGGGCGACCACGCGCTGAGCCACCAGGGCCACCAGAAGGGGAAGCCCACCCAAAGGGCTGAGGTAAGCATGATGGACTCTAAACATTCTCACCAGAAACTTCAATTTCTGATGCTCGTATGAAGGGGGAACATGTAGAGTCGTAGCGTTGTCAGTTTCTTGTTGCTGCCACCATCATGGGATTGTCTGCAACCCTTGAGGCTAAGAAAACCACCTCAGACTTGCCCCTTCAATGAATTTTACAACTAAGCTAAGTTGGATTAGCACTGGCTGCTTTTCTTTTTTGGTAAGTATGACGTTGCCAAGAAAAGAAGCCGGGAACGTGGGCCACCTCCTGATTAAGTATCTCCCTTGACTCTGTCTTTATGTAAGGAGGCCCCAACTGTAGAAGACAAACCAAGACATTCAGCGGCTTTCCAAAACCTTGCAGAGGAAAGAAGCATGGATGTGCCTAGTACCGCTGTAACTTACTTCACAAAGCATCGGTTTTTTGGAGTGAACCTGAGCACCACCCTTCAGTGGAGTGTTCCGTTCCTTCTGTTCCTTTAAGCATGTGGAGAAAGTGCTCGTAGATGCACCTGGTTGATTAGCTTGAACCAAGTTCGTGCGCTTCTTGAGCCTGGTTCGAACGTACAACTCATCAAACGGCATGAGCATTGATTTCTCTAGAAAGAGCTCGTGGGTCGATGAATGCATTTTCCACGCCTCTCCGGATAACCTGGGCTTCTTCAACTGTGTCTATCTGGGGCAATCATGACTGGAAAGATGCATCATATGGCGCCACCACTCCTTAAGAAGTTTTCCCGGGGCTTTCAGAACATTATCCACGTCAAGAAGAACACCGTTCGAGGGCTTCACCCCACTGTTAGTGTGGTTCTGAGCCCCCGAAGATGCACCCTACCCAATAGAGTTGACAATTCTTTCTGTGAACGAGTTTCGTCTTGTGCAAGAGATACTCTTGCTAGCCTTCGGAACCTAAAACCTCAGCCTAGACATATCTGGTCACCTTTAACCCCGCTCCTAAGCCGCTTCCCCTCGCCTGCAGGCACCAAAAAAATCTGCTTGATGCAGCAGAGGAGGATAGCGTGCACGTATATTTTCAAATTTGAAACTTTCATTCCCAACCGATATTCTGCACTTTCGATCTCGCTTCTAATAGCTTGCCCGTGAAGGTCTTTAGGTAGGAGCACGGCCTTGGAGAAGCAAGCAGGCACCCTAATCCATTTCGGAAGCTTTCACACGTGCCCATCTTTGGTCATTACCATGCTCTCAACCAACTTTCGACCAATTTCCGCCCCTCAGGTAACAATCTACACGAAGAAGCACGGCATTGTGCGCGCGGAGGAGGACAGCGAGCGCGCCTACTCGAGCATCGACCTCGTGGCCGATGTTGTTGAGCGCAAGCTGCGCAAGATCAAGGAGAAGGACGGCGGGAATGGGCGCAACTGGCAGGTACGACTTAACCCTCTGTCAGGCCCAGCCCTCACTCCCTGTCGATAGAAAACCCTCAGTGCGCCAGTTTCTTTAGCGAAGTCAGACACCAAATGAAAGAGTGTGTTTGTACTCCGTTCTTGATTCAAGGCCATCGAAGGTAAAGGACGTTCAGCCGGGGATTGCTACTGGCATCAGAGCGATTCAGCAGTCGCGGGTTGATATTCTCGTTGCTTTAGGCGTTGCAAGGCTGTACTTCTACTATTATGTGATCACGAGATATTAATAGAGAACCTGAACTTGAATCGTGGTGTGAACCCGTATTCAAGATCTAGATTTACAGAACCATAAGAGAATTGGTTATCCTGAACTAAAACCTGGGTATCGACCGATTATCAACCGTTTACCAATCGTTGTGCAGATGCGGCACAAGCCGAACGTGGAGGAGCTGCTCCCCGCGGTGTCCGTATCGTCGGTGCCGGACCTCGACTTCGACGAGGCGGAACTCAGCGACCAGGAGGGAAGCCCGGAGCAAAAGTCGCTGCTGGGAGAGGTGGGTTGGAGCTCATTCGAATTCCTTTTGATCCAGCTGACTGTATCCTGACATTCTGCCTTCGTGCTGTTGTAGTTGGCTCTTGTCGTCTTCTGCCCATGTATGGTCCGGTTACTTTGCTCATCGAAGTTAAGCTGGTGGTAGCTTGTTAAATTGTTGCTCCAGGAAAGCTGTTTATGCATTGCTCTTGTGCTGTTCGCACAGGGCTCTTCTTCATCCGCAAGACAGCCCCAAGCTTTGGTCGCTGCTGAGAGGTCGGAGTTTGATGAAGGAAATGATAACCGGCCGTGATGATATCGGGTCCGGTGCTCCAAGCGACAGCTTCCCAACTCATTCTGTTTGCTGTTGCTTGCAGATTGTCCGCACAAAGCGGTACTCCATTCCCCCCATGACCACGGAGAGTGCGATGGACGAGCTTCTTAACGTTGGTCACGACTTCTTTGCATTCCGGAGCATCGAGACAGGTGGGGTTCGGCAGCGTTCTTGGAGCAACGGTCGTTGCTTACAATCAGCTGCGTCTATTGAAAGAAGTGTTTCTGGCGTTTATATGGAGCTTTTCGTGAAAAGGTTGCTCTTTAAGGAAGTAGTGTGTATTAGCATCGACCCCAGGGTTTGCCGTAGGTGCTTCTGTTACACGGTTCAAGCCACCCTGCAACGGCGGAAGAAGTCAGTCTACCACTCTTCAGCATCTGGCAAAAATATCTCCAGTATTCGGAACTCACGAGTTTCTGAATCACGGACTTCCTGAAGACGACAACGCATGTTCAAAAAGTACGTATAATTCCATGCAGATTCAGAGACGGCTTCTAGGCTTTTGGAAAATAGCGACCTGGAGGGTTGTTTGGTCAAGCACACTGACGTCATGCTGTTGTCATGCTCTTACAGGTGACGTCAACATTTTGTACCGGAGGAGGTCCGGCGGGTTCGGGCTCATCATTCCAAGGGAGGATGAGCCTTGGGAGAAGTTCACCCCTGGCGTTGCTCAGGCTAGGAAGTAGTCAAGCCGGGTTTGCAGTAATGCTGACGTCAGGGCTGATTGTGCGTAGGCCATGGTCGGTCGTTGGCATCAGCCTGTCCCTTCTGTGGATTCGCGCGAATGTGTTGAAGCTGTGGAAAAGTTGCCGTACTTAGACGCAAGTTCCTAGAGCAGGGTAGAAGTAAAGGGCAGGAAGAGGTTAGTCAATTGTAGTTCAGAAAACGGATGTCGAGGGGGCATTGGGGTTGCATCCCGGCAGTGTAAGAACCGAGCTTAAAATTCGCAAACCTAGTTGTACACTCCTAAGACAGGGATCAGCATCGTCGACTTTCCTTCCGGCGTATCTGTGTGCTATCTATATGATTTCCCTCTGCATGTATCATGGAACTCTGTCGACTGCAAGGGAGTATACGGATTGCTCCAACATTGACGCTAGGCCAGTTTTGCTAGAGTCAGCGAGACTGGCCTAGGCTCATGACCTCAGTGCACGAGCATGCTGTAATATTGAACCGTGCTTAGCTATTTGTCAAAGCGCCACAAGGACTTCTTGGTAAGTCGAACACCATGGGTTGATGGCCGGGCCCGCTGGGTGATTGCAGAGCGCGGCGGGACTCGGATGAACATATATGCAGCTAGCTGTCTGTGGTGGTCTGAATTGCCGCGGACTCTCTCTAGCGTACACCTTCAAATGTATATTCATGTGCCGCTGGCTGCACAAGCGTATATGAGTATGGTACTTTGAACGTCTTTGTAGCAAGCCCATCCTGATTGGATGCGTGCTTACATGCAAGTGATCGCGGCCTAAATCAAAACATAGCCAACAAAGTCAGCATGCATGCAAAGGGAACATGATGCATTTTGATCGGATTGGTTTCTGGGACTCACGTGTATAGTGTTCACTTAGAAGAACAGGATTGTCTGATACATGGGCCACACACCACGACGTTCAGATGGCTGCGCATACGGGCCACCAAAACACTCACAGAGTGCTGGGTGCGTGAGACAACAATATGAGAATGGCACCGTCAATGGACATGGAGGCTCAGCTTATATTGAGAGAGTCGAAGAACGTGCGCTGTTGCACAGGTCTGTTGCTCCATTAAGACCTCTTTATTACCTGCCTTGCCTCCTATGCCGTTCATCATCCTCACGCCTTCGTGACTCGCCGCCCCTCTCTTCCCGCCTGTCCTTGTCCCTTCTATCCTCCCTGGACCTTTGCCCAAATTCCTCCCTTCTATGCCCCTCATCTCTCCGCCGATGATGCTCAGCTTCTCGCTCTTCCTTTCTGTGCTCTTTCGAGCGACCGCCGTCTTTATGCCCCCTCTCATGCGACTTTTCCCTTTGCCTCCTATCCCCCACCTCCGCTTCGTGTCTGCCGCGTCCTCTTTCCTTCGTATCACCGTTCTTCTCTTCTCGGCCCCTTCCCTCTTCCCGACCGGTTCTATCGTCCCGGAAATGTCGGTCCAAATGATCGCCTTTTCGTCGATCGCTCTCACCCCCCTTTCTCGCTTCTCGATCGTTTCTATGCCAGTCTCCTTTTTCCCTCATTTCATCGCGTGATCGTCTGACATCCTCTCCCGCATCCTCCCTGTGCCGCTTCCTATCCCCCTCCCTCTCATACTCCACCCGCCTCTTATCATAAGAAGGCCGGCTCCTCTGCCCTGCACCGTCGTCAAACACCATATCGTACTGGCCGCTCGCCCCGCCTATTTGCCGGACCCCTCTTTCTTTCAACTCTACTCGGGGGCCCCTCGGCGGGGCGTTTGGACCCCCCCCCTTGGGCTCCGGGCAATCTTTCGCCATATGCCCCTCCTGGCCGCAGTTAAAGCAGCCCTTGGAACGGGCGGCTCCGGGGGCGTAGCTGCTGCCACCTGGTACACATGCACGTAAGCGTGACGTCAGCAGATGCGACCTTCGACTTTGTGCCTTCAACAAAGGTTTCCCAAAGCATAAGTGTCATGGAAACAAACAAACAAGCCGTCCCAAGTGTGATTAGTTGGAAAGGCAACCGACCAGGTCCGCCGACTGACCCAAGTAAACTCAAACATTTGAAGCACAATTATCTCCCCGCAGACGCGATAGGCTTGCCAGAAAACCGGAAAAGCATCCGCTTCGATCAAGTCCTGATCCCGTACTGTGCGATGACAAAGAACTGGCGACCGACATCACACGAGGGAAAATACAAACGATTAAGGTATGCAGGAACGGCATCACTGCCCAAAAACGCGCACAAACGTCACTGGGGTTCCAGTGCCATTATTAGAAGGCAAATCAAGTCCAACAAAAGACACTTGGAAAGGGCGGAAAAAAACGAACGGCAAACCCCGCCCAGACTCGAAAAGGCTTTCGCGTCGGCAGAGTCCTGGTCTTGGAGGAATCAGAAACGAAATCTAAACACGCACAACACAGCCGGAACGGCAAAGGAAAAAGTAAAGAATGCACCCGCGTCGGCCGAATCCTTGGTCCCGATCTTGCGGTAACGGTTCCACAGCTTCCCGACCGACTGGCTGAAGTCCACGTGGATCCGGCGGTCGTCGATGAGCACATTGTCCATTTTGAAGTAGGCCGCCTCGCACGCCTCTTTCGACTCGAACTCGATGAAGCCGTAGCACAGGCTGTCGCCCGTCTTGAAGTCGCGGATGATGTCAGCGGACACGATCTTGCCGAAGCGCGAGAAGATGATCTCCAGGTCGTCCTCCTGAGGAGGGAAAGGAGCAAGGAGAGGTTTAGGAGGTGGCGGCGAGAGGTGGAAAAGCGGATGATGTCAACGAATTCGGAGGATGATGTCAGCGGACACCATCTTGCCGAAGCGCGAGAAGACGATCTCCAGGTCGTCCTCCTGAGGGGGGGGGAAAGCAAGAAGAGTTTTCAGGGAGACAAGTGATGGAAAAGCGAAGTATAAGGGACTCTGCGGATGATGTCAGTGTAAAAAATCTTGCTGAAGCGCGGTAGGCGGATGATGCTGGCGGAAAGTAGGGGGGAAGAGCATTAACATTAGCGGGACAATGTGAAAGGATGCTGTCAGCGATCACGATCCTGCCGAAGCGAGAAGAATTATTTTCGAGGTGGCCATCCTGGGGCGGGATGAAAGCAGGAATCAGAATACGGGGGGAAGGGAAGGGGGAAAAGCGGGTACCAGCGCACGGTACGATCACGTGAGTCGCACTGATAACTGCAGAAAATGTTTAACAACCTCAGAGCTAAGAATCTACTCTTTCGCCGCAACAAGCGGAGAGCAGAAAGGGGTTACAACTAACCTGCGTGACCGGGTTAAGCTTGCAGATGAAGAGCACGTTCTCGGGCGGCTTCACGTCGGCCTCGGGCAGATCGCCAATCATTTCGAGCACTACCGCGCGGCCGTGCGCTTCTTTCTCGCGGATCGTCTTGTGCAGCTCCTCCTCGTCCATCGTCTCGTCCATGGGTACCCAGTCCTCTTCAAGGCGCACGTCGGGGCCCTGAAAGTTAAAAAATGGTTCAAGCTTAAGGTCAGGGTCAAGTAACTTTCAAGTAGAAGCTGAGGTTTAAGGGTTAAGGTTCCGGCTGACAAAAAGTTTCTGCAGCCCTCTAGTCCATCGTCTCGTCCATGGGCACCAAGTCCGCTTCCAGGCACACGTCAGGGCCCTGGAGAACCGGAGGATACGGTTGACTTTACGGTCAAGATTACAAATTTTTGTGAGATGAAGTTAAGGGTCAGGTTAACGAAGAGGTTCTGCAACTCCTCCTTGTCCATCGTCTCGTCCATGGGTACCCAGTCCTCTTCCAGGCGCACGTCAGGGCCCTGGAAAATCGGAGGGTACGGTTAAGGTCAACGTTAGTCAAGGCTACGGTGAAAGGTTCTAATCAGGTTTAAGCTTGAGGTTTATGGTTCATTCTCTGCAGCTTTCCTTCGTCCGTCGTCCCGTCCAATGGCACCCAGTCCTGTTGGAGCCGCACGCCGGGACCCGGCGTATCCGGAAGTCAAGGTTCAGACTAACGAACAGTAGAAGACTTACTTATATAGTCGAACGCTTTTATTAATGAAGCTAGTGAACTTTCAGAGCGTGCAGCTTTTTCGAGCCAGCAACAATTGAAAGATCAGTTGCTCTATGGTGGCACCCAGTCCTCCATGATGCGGACGTCAGGGCCCTGGAAAGCCGGAGGTTCAGAAGCGGGGTTGAGGTTAAGGTTCAGATCAGCAGAGGCTATCGGCAGGTTTCTTCCCTTCGTCCATAGGCACACAGTAGTCCACCTCAAGACGCAAGCTGAGCCCTTGATAACCAGCGACTAGATTGAGCAATCGAGTCAAGATCAATTGAGTCAAGATCTTCCATCGAGTTCGTTTGCTAAAGTTTTTCATGGAAGGGTTAGTGGGCAAATTCCATGCGCCTCTGCGGGACGCATGCCTAGAACAGTCATATTTTAAGAAAAGTGTGAACAGGACTGGCATAGTAGCGACGACAGAAAAGCCAAAGTGCGACGGAACAGAACGAACTGGACGCAATCAGCCATACTTTCCAATCTAGTTTCGAGAGAGCATGTGGGTTGAGCTTGTCATAGCAAAGCGCTTTGACGTGGGATTAGACAAACTCCGAAAGCGATAAGTAGACAGATACAAAAAGATTGGTAACGGGGACAAGGACACACACCTCGTCCGGAACAAAGTCGGGCGAGCGGTCCGGGATGAGCGCCTCGAGCCCCGGAGGATCTTCAAACGGATCGTCCAGCACGTGGGTATGCTTGATGCGGAGGTTTTTGTACGGCCTCCCAGACTCGTCGACGAAGGTTTCGTTGATTCGGTCCAACGCTTCAAAGCCCTCAGCTACCTCGCCGAAAACCTGGAAGTGCGCAAAAACGACTTCGGATTCAGCATAAACCTTTCAGGATGCCCATAGGCCTGCCCGAACCCTTGCTTTGATAACTTGAACCATTGCCTCGAAGCCCTCAAGTACCTCGTACGCCTTTCAAACCTCGAAGATGTTAGAACCCTTGAAGGCCAAAGTGGACACAAGTTTTCAATATGGAACCTCACACCGTTTGGTAGTCCATGCGCGCACGGCTTAATGGACTGATTACTTTCCAAGCCATTCGGTCGCTTGTCTTTGGCCCCGAGTCTCGGTCCCATTTCTCTATGCCAGCTATCCGAGCCCTCGGTGAGGATCCAATGGGTCTGTCAACAGGAGACTCGCGGAGGTTACGCCACAATGGGCTGTTCTCGAGTTACGTGTGGCCATCGTAGTCTTTCGAAGCTCGCGCACAGGCTGTGAGAGAGTACCAACCGGTATGGGGGTTCAAAAGCGAAACTGGAGTCCACGTACTCCTTCCACGGGTTCTGTTGAATCAGAGTTTGACTACAACGTTCCAATCTTCGGAATGCAAGAAAAGGCCTTCGAGAGAAGAGCCTTCAAAACACCTGCATAGCAAAAAGGGCAGGAAGACTGGCTGCGTTGAGAGAGCAAACTTTCGAAGCTGCAGAAGTTTAGAAAGACACCTCGTACCACACGCACATGCGCAAAGCCCGGCACTGTTCGATCTCACATATGAAAGACGGACTCACTGTGTGCTTTTCATCCAGGTAATCCAGCTCGTCCCTGAGCGTGATGTAGAATTGGGATGCGTTCAGGTTCTCCCCCCCGCTCGCCATCGCCACGGTTCCTTTCTTTGCGTGCTTCAGTTTCGGATGGATCTCGTCCTCAAAGAAGCGCGCCTGGTCGCCGTACAGAAACCTGGGGACGGTGTGAGAAGAATGTCAGATAATGTAAAGTCTTGTGTTCTGTAACTTAGAAAACGTCCAAGAGCAGTACGGAGAGGGCCAGGGGCCCGCAGATTGTACGTCCTTTGAGACATCATGTTGAAGCCGTGATGTTGCGCAACTTCAACAGGGGTCATATTAAGTACTCGGGTTGCGCAAGTGCGGAAATAACACCTTCAAGTTGCACTCATCTGGAGATAGATCTCAAACTTGCAATGTATCAAATTGTTCCACTTTGAAGTGCGCAACTGCAAAAGTGCCCAGCGGTGTGAGGCAAAAACGGAAGATTGGGGGGAAGTGGCAAATAGAGAGTCCCTGTTTCTCTACTGCAGAGCCGTGCGCGGCTTCTCTGACAATGATACCACATTATGACCATGATGATTGGTGACGGGGGGGGTATCCTGAAACTCAAGTCTGCCGAGTTTTATCAAAGTTTCGACATGGTGGCGACAGCAAACGGTTTTGACATCTCCGTCAGGGGCGCACTGGGACCCACACTAGCATCAATGAACAGCCCAAAATAAATGCGCAAGATGACTGCTAAAAGTGCTGCCAGGTCATTGACACAATTGAAGCAGAACTTATTGCATGACATCACAACACTTGCAGAATGTAAAATGGATACCGCGTTAAGAACGTGAGGCATCGGGGATGATTGCCTGATGACCGACTCGAACTAACCAATATGGTCACAGTTCAAAAACAATATCTGCCTCAAACGACTTCAACCAAGGGGTTTTTGCAATGCACTGAACCATCGCGTCTTCTTAAGCAATTTCAAAGTGCGCCGGCGACTCACTTGTAGATAGAGTCCCCTCCTTTCCCGGTGCCTGTGGGGTCCCCAGTCTGCGCCAGAAAGTCCTTCTTGACGTCATGGAAGAGGCAGTTATTGTAGTACTTGATCTTGCACAGCTTCAAAAAGTTCCTGGTTGTGATTGGGCAGTCGTCCGTGAACAGGTCCACCACCAGCTCACCCAGGCTCGTCTCCAACATCACCGCCATTGCAGCTATTGAGTTTTACCACAAAGCACTCTCCACATCACCGCTGCATCACCACAATTTTTTAAAGTAATCTTGTCAAAAAAGCCGAAATGCCTTCTACTCCTGACACTCTGAGTCCATTCAATCCCTGAAGAGAGGCGTCTACGTTTCCTTCTCTTCTCTCCCCCCAAAAAGTCGAAGCCCTATTATTGCAAATTGCAATTGTGCAGACACAAAAAACTTTCAAGAGACTACTTGATCGAATAGGTACCTAGCATTGTCCAATCCACCTCTAGTTTTACATCAGCTCTGCTGTCAAAACCATTACCGCTCGCGGTCGACCATTAACGCGGACCAGGACGTAGGGCGGCAACTCCCGCCTTTGCCAACTTTGATGAAGGCCGTTCAATCTCGCAAAGTTGCAACTCGGACCGTCGATTGTTCAATGGAGAAGTTTTGGCGCAACGATCGTGGCGTCAGCAGCCAGCTTTGTCGATAATGCAAGACTAGCGGAGAACATGGCGGGCTGCCTTGTGAACGTACCTAGTACCTGGTACCTAGTAGTAGGGTCTTCCACAAATTGTGCACTTGACTTCAGAGGCTGTTCCTACCACGTTTCTACAGGATTGAAGGCGCACTGTTGCATGGTCAAGGCCTCATCAAGCCCTTCTTTGAAGATTTGGGAAGTGGGTTTGCAAGGTCACAGCCCTGAAAATTGGACCGGCAGGATTTGCGGGTGCTCCGGTTCCGTACCTTCCCAGCCCTTGAGTTGGTAAAAGCAGATTCTGGGCTGCCTGCTGCTGGCCGTCTCTTGAAATAGTGCTGGGCAGTACTTCCCAAGGGCAACCCTGAATGTAGCCTGAAGCAATTCTTGGAAAGTGAGGCCCTTCTGAGCATGCTCAAAAGCTGGCAAGCTGCCGAAGTTGCTCCACTTGTCTCGTGGGGCAAGAGTCTATTGACAAGAAGTTGAAAGGGATCTTCAGAGAGCCAGGGCATGAATGCCTAAGCAGTGGTTTACCTCGAGTTCATAGATAAAGCCAAGGGATTGCAGCACACCATAGCATCCAGGCATAAAGCAAGACAAAGCAGGGAGCACTGGGCGTGAGCTCAATAATACGAGGGGCATTTTACCAGCATGAGCACAGGACAGTGACTGCTTGCTTCGTAAAGTAGCTCAGGGAAGAGCAGTTTGCTGCTGCAGGTGTTAAGCGCAGCTCACCAGGCAGAGCTCCCGCATTTCCCCAGTGCTATATCAGAATGGAGGCTGAGGAGTTGGCCATTGTCCTCAGCCGCGCGAGCGACCTCCACATCAAAATTTCCGAGGCCATCGAGCGCTCCATGAAGTCGCAACGCGTGTCCGCCGGGTCCGACAGCCCGAGCACCGTTCTAGACACCGTCTCCTCGGAAAACAGCGCGAGCGGTTCTCCCAGGGTTATTGATTTCAACTATGAATCCACCCCCCTCTCGGACAGCAAGCCTTGGCAGGGCCCCAGCAAAGAGGCGAGGAGTTTGGTGGCTATCAGAGAAGCCTTGGAGACGCTGGAGGTGCAACTGGAAGATCTGCAGAAACTGCAGGCGGTGCAGATGCAGGAGCGGGAGAATGCGCTGGCGGAGCTTGAGGAGAGCCGCAGGATGCTGCTCAGGCGGTTGAGGGAGCACCAGGGAAAGTGAGGGGCGCCTCTAGTTACTCCCTGGTTTGCTGTCATGTTGACCTCTAAGTCAGTGCTTACTCACTGGCTTGCTGATGTCATCTTGCCTGAGCTCGGCGGGTTTGTGTACACTAAGAGCACTGGCTGCCGTCAAGAAGTTATGCCTTTCAATTCAAAATCTGCTGATCACCTGTCTCATCAACCTGGTTGCAAGGGAGTTGGCTGTGTTGTAAAGGATGGATAAGCGAGCAGATGCCTCTTTCCGCTGCCAGCAGTGTTATGATAGATGTGACAACTTCTTCTCAGCTATTTGCGACACTGTTTGCTCTCAGCTCGACCGCTGCAATGAAGTCATAGAGCTGACAAGCTCTGTCTGATGGGGTCTCTTTCTTCCTAATGCTGGTTTTTGAACGTGGCAACAAGCAGTCACTTTTGGTGTTGCAGACTGGCTCGAAAGCAACCCCCACACAGGGAGCAGGTAGTTGAGCGAGAAGCACGGTGGCATCACTTTCAGGAATGAATCAGACCCACACACTTCAATGCCCGTATGCTGTACTGGTTCTCTTCAACTTTTGCTACCTGTATGAAGCACGGTAGCAGACCTCCCCAGAGCATCCTACAGCGCTCCTTGCTTCAAATTACTCGCAACGTTAGAGCCATCTCCTGCAGGAACTGGACGGCCGGAAGCTCTTTCAAGCATCCCATCTAGGCTATAGCACTCTCCCTGGTCTAGTCCAATTCAAATCAAGCTCCGCTAGTCTTTTCTGTCTGGGTGTCTTGACCTTATTCCCCCGTTCTACCTTACATTGGGTGGCAATCCGTTGGCTTTCAATCTGCTCTACTTATGCTGATTTGTTTGCTCCTGAAGTAAAAGAGCCCACTTGAGTAATGACGTGGTCTGGCCTAACGCTCATTCCTGTCCCTCTGCAGGGAATGGGAGGTTGTCAACGAAGCGCTTGCTTTCGCTGGGGAGCCCGTCGAGGATCTTGCCGAAGACGACGACGACTTTCCGGAAGACGAAGAAAACGACCTTGAAGACGAAGAAGCTTTCGAGGGCTCTCCAGAAATCGGAGAAAACACCGGTGCCGAGGAGGAGCCAACAACCCCGGTCACCCCGCCAAGCGTTTTTACGCACGCCCTAGAAGGGAGGGGGTCAGACCCCGTTTCCAATCTGGAAGCGAGTTTGAACCTGGTTGCGGATGACCCGGAAGAGGAGGATAAAGAAGCGGAAAGCGGGGGCCCGTTGCCCGGTTTCGGCAAGGCGCTTCTGAGCGTGTTGGGGGCGGGGCTGGCCGCCGCGGCGGCCGTTGCGGCGTTCAGTTTCGCAAAGGAGAAAGGTGGGGCGTACGGCGCTAACGAGATCCGGCGCGAGGCTCCGACTGCGACGTTGTCCAACTGGGCGCTGCAGAGGGAGAAGAGCGGGCTGGGAGCCCAGCGCGATGGGATGCCGCTGTGCACTGTGAGGGAGCGGACAGTGAGCCCAGTGAAGAAGGGGCGGTCGGCGGACGTGCTCCTGGCGAGGGGGTGAGAAGCGGGCTAACCCAGGGCGGTTAAGGGTCTGACCTGGGGAGGCTGAGGCCTCCGCTTGGCAAGGTAAATGGCTGATCGACAATCTTGTGAATGATGAGAGGGGCGGCATGCCTTCCTTCAGAGTTTCCGCTGTTACTATTTGTCGCAAAATTGGCGGCTGCGACTCAGCCCAGTAGGGCAAGAAAGCAAATAGGAGAGTGAGCCAGTTGAGAGCTAGCTTGAGGGCTGGCTTGGGGGCTCGTCTTTCCCGTGTGAGAACATTCACGGACGGCCGTAGTGTAACGTGACAGAATACAGGGGGTGAGTGGGAGGTAGATGTGGACATACAAGTGGACTAAGCGGCAAGAGAGGTTGGAACCGGTTTGACACGGATTTCTGCATCCTTAGGCTAGAGTAGGACGGGTAGGTTAGGGGTTCGAATCTGCATGAAAGCAATGCAAGTAGAGGAGAGCAAGCCGCCAACAAATTCGTTGAGAGGTTGGGGTGAATGTTTGCTCTGACATGTGACTTCAAAGATTGGGGTTGGTGTTTCGCATTGCTTTAGTGTCACAGACGCCTACTTCTAAGATGCCGCACTTCAAGTATTCCAAGCGACCACTGCCAATGATAAGTTTTGCGTATAATCAATGACCATTCGTAACGCTTGTGTGGCAACCATGTAAATCGGCAACAAACGTGGCGTCTTTTACTGCATGCCGTGCCACAGGGAAGTTCTGATCCTGCAAGTCAGCTCGATCATCCCAACCATTGTTCAAAATTATCACGATTATTTTCTGAGCTAGTTGAGGTTAACGAGAGGGCTGTAATTACAGCCCTCTTGCTAAAGTGCACAACACGGACATGGTAACTTACGGTTCATTATTGCCCTGATCCATGTGGAGCCATCGGGCAGAGTCTGCCGCGGTGAGACCGGGACGGTAATGAGTTGACTCTGCAGCTTGCTACGGCTGCATGTCACGTTGTCCAGAGTCCTAAACAATCCTGCGACCTGCGCCGGGCATGCACTCGAGAACCCAAATATTACTTGTGGGAGCATGCGTCGTGACGGATCACTAAGTTCTTATCTGTCACTGAGTGCTTGCGATGGTGATTGCGCATGGAGCATGAAGCAGATCAATTACCAGCATTCTGAGTTTGTGCGGCATGCATGTAGTCTTTGAGACGGCTGGAAGGTGCGTCATATGTGCTAAGCGGCCTGCTGGACATGCTCAACTAATAGTAGAGATCCTTATATACCAGATTGAGTATCCGATTTGAAGCAAACGCGTAGACATTCACCTTCTCAAAAATACATTCAGCTGAAGCACTGCAGCAAGTTTGGTCTATCAGTCTCTAAACTCAAAAGCAACATACGCATGGCCAATCTTGTGACACTCAATTCCTTTTTCAATTACAGGTTACTAGAACGAAAGGCCGCAGCTTGAGGCTCAAGTACTGCAAAATGTGCATTGTGGTCTACCCCATCGATCAACGAGATGCGTTACAGGTGCTCAATGCGCGTCTAGTAAACCGTTGGTCGGACTTGGTCGACTAGAGTTGTTATCCCAGCAGAGAGCAGCGTGGTGAGGAGAAAGCGTCGTCGAGCCCGGGGCAAGGACAAAGAAAGGATAGCCCCTGTCCGCCCCCCCGGCGAGCGTGGCATTCAACTGGGGCAAAAGAGGTGGTGCAATCTGAATCCGACTTCGTTGGCTACATGGCACAAGGACAGGGAAACTTCGAACCTTCTCGAAATCTACTCGAAATTTCGAACTCTCGAACGTTGAAAACTATGTCCTCAGGAGACTACGCACACGCTCCTTGCGCTGAACACTTTCGGGTTTATCAGTTACTTGGGCAAATTTCGCGCTTGAAATGAATCCAGTCACAAGGACTGATGTTCCTTCTTTCACGAGCAGAAAGCTTGTGCTACATGATGCCTAGGTCTTCAACATCTAAAAACCGACTCAAAAAGAAAGAGTTCCCGGGTGTCAAGAAATTAGCTGATGTGCCGTGCCTCTGCAGGCAGACCAATATGAAACAGACCTTCTTTACAAGTCAATACCTTCGGCGCCATTTGGCCATCTCTCGTGAAGGCATCATAAACCCAATTTTCGGCCGTTCAAGCCCACCGATCTTGCCTTGAACCGTGTTTCACCCTTTGAATGCAAAAAACAACCTGGTTTGCCATCGTACATAAGGCTTTTGCTAGCATGTTCTCACGAACAGTCCAAAGACAACACTGACCGTGTCCTGCTTTCTGCGCAGTCGCTCCAGTCCGCAGTGAAGCCCCAAGTAAGTAGCCGCCACCGTACCTGTGGAAAGGATGGAAGATGACCGCCTAAGTCTTCCGAAGCTTGGCCTAGCATAAGAGAAGAAAAGATTGTGCATGATTCAGCTGTCGAACTTAGACGATTAAAACTTGTGTGCCGGCACTTCGTGGCAAAGCAAGGACCCCTTCTCCTAGTCCTTGCACCTCGTTCTGACAATAGTGAGCATAAAAGCAGCAGGGGCTTCGACTGAGCCGCTGATTCCAGGCTGATTCGTCTGGACTCTCAACGAATTGTGGTCTCTCGCATATTCGAAAAGTCTGATCTTTGTTGGCTGGAAGTAAACGGATGCTCGAAGGCCCCTGGAACTCTCTCGATATTAAAACAAACCCGCAGACTCCCCAGTTCGTGCCCCCCCCAAGCAATCAGATACGTTAGCAAAGATGCTGGATTTCCTGTCAATGCGAAAGGGCATCATAAGATACATGACAGTATCTTCCTTCAACAAGTATGCCTTGAAGTCCATCTACTGTGATGTTTCGTCTCACAAAGCGTTTCATTATGTCAAACAAGAAAGCGAGTTGATGTTCGCAGCAGGCAGGATCCTGGTCACTATGTCTTGCAAACCACTGCCTGCCACCCTATCCATGCTCAATCAAACCCCCAGAATGGCGACAATCTACCGAGACATCGTGTCAACGGACTACCAAGGCTCCCTATCCCGCAATTGAGCTCATCAATGGAGAACAGTCAACGCCGCTCTCCGACTGTCGACCATCCCATAACTGCAAGGAGATTAGAAAAAAGAAATGGGGAGAACATACCCCACGTGACGCCAGTCTTCAGCGTGTTTGTGGCCACGTAAGAGAAACCCAATGACTTTCTCACCCTCCTATCGTAGTTGGAGGAGAACACCCCCCAAACTAGCCCTGCTAGTCCTGCAATTGTCAACAATTCAGTTGAGGGAGTGATGATGCTGCTGAAGATCAAGGCATGGTCGGATTTTCTGAGAGTTGGACATGTTGACGTGCATGTGTGGTTCGTTGAGTCGTACCAAGGTTGTGTTGGATGGTGGATTGATGAAACGGATATGAAAAACACTGCGAAGAATTGCCTTGAGCAGGCACTTTCGGCCAGGAATGGGCAAAAATTGTGAATAGCCTGGGAGTGTGTGAACTTGACGCACCAAGGTCGCGAGCTTCTGCTCAGCACAACAGCTAAACGAAAAGTTTCTTTACTCAGCCCCAGAAGTCATCCAAGGCTCTGCCACCATGCAACATGATCTGAGACTGCCACCAAAGAATGTCGCTGCATTGAGCGGCATCATATATCACTTCGTTGGTAGCCTGATACATTCTTGATGGTTTTACTCGTCTAAGTTGATGAAAGCGCACCTGCCCGGACCAAGCCGTCCACCGCGCTGGTTGCGCAGTCTGGTCCTGGCCGATACCTTGTTTCCTGGTGATTATCCATCGTTCAATCACAGCTTTAGGACGTCTGTAAGCGGGACTGAACACTTGTTTCTGTCATCGGAGGCGCCATCCCAATGAACAAGCTGCTGTAATGAACAACGTAAAGCAGTAACCACTCTGTGCTTTGATTAACTGGTTTCTGAATGCAAGCTGCCTGGTGGTGGTGCAAAGGCCGAACCAGGAACAGCTAGAAGGTCGCCCTCTCGTCTTTGGCAGCGCTTGAGGAGGCAATCGAGCTTCCAAGCTTCCGAAAGTCTGTAGCCAAACCCTAATTTGCCAGCAATGGCGAGCTGGCAAAAGTTGGAAAACCCTTGAAGGTCGTCACCTCTGTGCCCTGTTCGAGTTGAGTCTGACTCTATTAGTGAAAAGGTGGTTCGCAGGCAGTGTGCAGGCATCCTTTCAAGCAGAGAACTTGAAGCGATTGAAGTCCTGCCTGCTTCTGTACTGGAGGCGTAATCGCAGTTCAAAGGTCTGCGCCAGTGGAGCTCCTCTCTTAATACCACCCCAGCGCCGCAATTCTTCCTCCCTTCTGTGTCACAATCTACAAGAGACTCATCGTGTCTTGAAAAGCAGTGGTTTGCATCAGCATTGTATTCAGGTGTGAATGAACGGCACGCAAAGCTTCTCGCCATACAGATCTTCCTCCTTGAGTGGTCTTACTGAAGGTACGATTGATGGCAAGCGCACAAAGGAGCAATGATTTGGGTGGTGTGGAGCCGGCAGTACGACCAGGATCTAACGAAGAATTACAGAAGGCGCGTAGCCAAAGCGGTGGGGGGGAGAATCCTTTTGAGGCGCTAGCGGAAGGTGAGTTGACAAGCTGCCTGAGCAGCCGTGGCGCTCTGAGGGTTCCCTGAAGAATGCGTGTTTTGAAAATCTGACAAAATCCTAGAGGATGACAGTATGAAAGAGAAAAAGGATGTCTTGGCTTTATCTGATGTCTGCTTAAGGACTCGAAACACTTTGACTATAAGTAGCTTTGACACATGAATATCTGGGTTGGTGGCAAGATCCTCACTGGCAAAGTCGTCTCGGTGGTTTTATTTTTCTTGATGAACTGGTGGTGGGGATCACACTGCGGTTCTGGATCTACCTTACCTTGAACAGAAATTGGCTTTGGAGAAATGATGCGAGGTTTTGAACGCAGGTGGTATGTTTTTCAACTCCAGCACTTTCTTTTGGCTGCTTTTACGTATGTGAAGTGTCATGACAAGACAGGCAAAGTCAAATAGCACAAAAGAATAACTTAGGGTGGATTAAACTGGGGGCCTGCCAGGTCTTTTCTGATTCCCAGCGGACAAGGAATAGAGGCTGGCGCTAATCGTTGAACTCTTGAATGATTAGATGTGTTTAATTCATCAGAGGGTTCAGATACAAGCAGCCACAAAAGTTGCCAGCACAGTACCTGTTTTCTTCAAGTTCTCTCTGAGCATACTAAAATAAGGATTGACAAACTCTCAACTAATTCTTCCTTGAAATCAATATACCAAGGTCCCTGCTTGATGTGACCTGATGCTGTTTTGAATGCAGAGGCCTTGGGGGGGCTGGATGGGATCAGTGAGGAGGTGAGCGCTTGACAGATTTCATCCATTTTATGCTTTTGATTTGAAGTACTTTCCAAGTGGCTGTGTTCGAGTTGTTCTGCGTCCTTTGTGTGCTCGTTGGAGTCTTTCCTGACAGTCAGAAGCTGCAAACATGTCTGGTCCATGATTTTGGATACCTCGCAAAACCTCGTCATGGTTTAAATTGTTTCTTGAAATATACATGTCTGCAGACAAAAGCATCGAACATTCTCAGTGGATGCGACCGCTTTGAATCGAACCCATTTGTTTTGTATCATGCTGCGCGTCATTTCGAAATCCGAATCCAGCAAGCTTGGACTAACGACTCTAGCGGGCGCTTGACTTCATCTCCTGCGGATGCAATTCTCAGTAACCTGGTTGAGGGCTAAGATTCGGTATCTATGATCTGCTTCGGTTTCTTAGGTGGTCTACGATTGGGTAAGAATTCAAGCAAGGACTGTCTGCCAATCCAAACGGTGTGAATCGACCTCAGTTAATCAAAATTGTATATTAGATTTACTCTTACTGATACGATGATTTCTGTGGTTATCACAAAACTGTCAAGCTCAAATGCGGAAGCGGCCATCATTCTTTAACCATTCTGCTCAGAAGGAAGTATCAAGGCATCAAAAGAGACAACTTGAAGCTGATTGAGTCTAAAATGACGGTTCGCGCAGGACCTCGAGGCGAAAGCTCGGGAGGCCTTGGAGTGCCCGTGTATAGATGGCATCAAAAACGGGCCATGCGGGGCATCGTTTGTGGACGCATTTGTTTGCTACATCAAAAGTAGAGAGGAAGAAAAGGTAAGGAAATGACGGGATTTTTTGGAGAAGGAAAAGGGAAAGCGAGAGTGAGGCTTTGATGCTGCCTAGTCCCCTATGATCGTCTTGACTAACGGACGTCGAGAGAAGCGTAGCACAAGTTGCTTGCAAATATTGTAGCATTGAGGGGACGGCCTTGCGAATCAAAAGATTGTATGAAGGGCCGCAGTGGGACCAAGTCTAGTGTTTTCTTCCTTCGGTATAAGTCTTCAAAGTTCTAGGGTGGTTTGCGTTTCGATTGAAGGGGATCTGTGACCGAGGGGCTGTTAAAGTACGAGATTGTTGGTTTTCACCTTTCTCGCACTGGGCTGTTGCGGGCGCGCAGCATCGGCTCACTTATACTTTTCTGTGACAATCCTCGTCTCTGATAAAGCTGTTGAACGCCGTCAGCCGTGTTGTTTGCAATGGGCCCTGCTCCAAGCTGCTGACTGAGGGCTCGACAAATGAGTTTTCAAAAGCGCTGCTGGTCAACACTACTGATTAATCCTTCAAATAAACTCAGGGCAAGAGGGATTTTTGATTGTTGTTGAGAGATGTTGAGTCATCATCGAAGGTCGTCAGAATCGGTTTTCAGGGCTGGTACCCGTTTTGTTCCCGGCATATTTTGTACTCGGCAATGTGTCAATGCGATGATTCATTTGTAGTGAAGCAATCGTTGACGCCTAGTTCTTCTTCCACAGGGGTCCGACTGCTTAGAAAAGTTTGTCGCCATGCAAAGCTGCATGGTCGCACATCCTGAAATACTAGAGGAAATGCAGGACGATGAAGAAAGTTGATTCGAGGACGCTGACAGGCTGTCAGTGGCCGACAGAGCGGAGTAGGGTTCTTTACGGTTACACAATCGATTGTGTGGTTGAGGTCTTACTAATCTGGCGGCAAATCGTCCCTGCCACATGATATGTACAATCATGCAGCAGCAATACGATACTTTGATTATTGGACATGTATTTGACACGATCGTTACCATCTTGAAAACCCTAACGTTACTTGCATTCAATCGGGTCGGGCCCGCGTGGATCGAAGTTGACGTGGTCTAGCTTAAAGTTCACACGGAGCTCTTCATTTTGCAACCATAACTTCCGACGTACGTGTACGTACAAGCATGCAGACTAGTCCACGGACCACAGGCTCTCTGTACGTACACAAGTATGACGTATATACCGTCGTCGCGACCTAGCTAGCAGAGAAGCATTTCCGCAAAGCCTAGTGTGCCGCATAAGGGTTTGCATGCGCATGCGCAGTGTGCCACGGTGCAATGCGGCCCGCATATGAACTGCACGACTGAGATGCAGCACATGTACGGTTATGCGGTACGTCGAGTGCAGTCTTGTCGATCTACTCAATCTCCCGGTTCACGGCCTAATGCGCCTCTACTTGTACACACCTAAAATTACTCGTACGTGGGCATGGCATACGGTAAGCTGAGTCTTCAGCCCCTTAAAACAACCACCGTAGTGTCTTGCAACGGGCGCCGAGTGGACTAAAACGGTACAGCAGAGTTGTGATTGAGTCTGTCAGCACTCTGCAACCCCGCGTTACATCATCCTGTAGACAAGTTGCTGTTACCTCGATTCATTGGAAAGCCGAAATTGACGGACTTTGCCTTGCAAGCGACAGCAGATTGCCGCATGCAATCGACTATTATGCTTTGCAAACAATCCTGGTTTCACCTCACTCAGTCCACAAATTCAGCATGTGCCTCACACATTCACTTCACCTAAGTAACCCCCTTTAACTTTTTCCGCACAGGTTGACGATGTCCATGCTGGAACCGTCAAGCCGAAGCCGCTCCTCACTTAGCAACGCCTCCTGCAAAGCGAGTGGAAACGCTTCTAATATATAGCACACAACAAAGAGGACTGTCGGCCTTTAAGCGAGAAAGAGGATGGAGAGAACATCGCAGGGACTAAGCCTCTCTAAACTCATACGAAGAAGTTTTTTGCAATTCGCCGACGGCTTTGCGTGGCTGGAAGCCCCAGCTGAACGGAGACAATTCACACCGAGATGCTCGCAGATGCAAAAATGGCAACTCCTTCTGAAGTTGGTGCAAGCGGCAGAGCGAGAGTTCGAGACGGAGGCCGTTTGGGCGAGCGACCGACTTCCCCAAATGCCAAAGCTCGACAAAGAGTTCATACGTCAGGCAAAGTTCAAATAGCGTACTTTCTTACGGGCTTGTCAGGGATAGAGGTGACGAGAGACGACCTTGCAATACGGCTGATGGGACTAAGCAAGGGAGAATTAGCTTCAGACGGTCTTCGCGAGCATTATGACTTGTCTGTTCTGGTTTTGAAAGCTGGCGCAGTATTAAGCATGTCCCAAACACAGGCTGCAAAATAGCCCACTAGAAATATGCTGGAAACAAGCCATAATGTCCAGTATGCTGAACACATCCCCATTGAGTCTACACCGGAGACCGAGACTGCTGACTGGTAGACCATGACACCATAACGAAAAGGTGCCCGGAGACCTGTTCTGGATCCAAAAGAGTCTCCATTAGCTCACCCACAAAGCGCGGCAGAATGGGCTATCTGCTGGTAGCCGATGCTCCCGCCAATCAGAAGCGGCCACGTGTCCAGGCAAGGGTCGGCTTTCCGCTGGTCGCCAGCCTTGGCGCCATCGTACGCTCACGACTGGTTGGACGATTCGTACGCTGCCTGAAAGGAACATATGCACAACGACGGATTGCGTTTGCAGCGCATCCTTTCGCTGCCTGCCGGATTCCAGACTCTTGAGAAACGCAAATACGTTGAAAGCTTCAAGAATCCTTGGACGTAACCTTATTGAAGCAATGCACCCCGGCTCCCGCGTTTGGGGAATCGCTGTAGATGAAGCAGCTAAGTCCGGATAAGTCGCTCTGCGAGCTTTGTTTATCCGATTGAAGATTTTGATACTTGATGGAGAAGATGCACAGTCGGGCAATATCGAACGGGACACATCTAAGTGACATTATATATGGTAACTCCAATCATTCGCCTCTGTTTGAATCTGCATCGTGCTGAAAGCGCCGCATGGCAGCAGTGAGTGCGGCAAGTCCTGATGTGCTTACTCGTGACGAAAGCCTCTAGCCACGTGCTCCGGTCGGATAGCCTTGGCGCCTCGAGGCTGATCTCGACACCCCATGCCTCGCATAAACTGTGAGATGAGGAGGAGAGACCCTCGGTTAGGAGTGACGGAAGCTGTGTTCACTAATCCAAGCTTCACAGAATGAAGCTGAACGTCCTCGCCGCTCTGTTCCAGCCCGTCCATTTGCAGAGAACTATGTATCCACTAAGATCTGTAGCTGATAGGATGAAAAGCCATTCCAAAGAGCCGGAGCTGAAGTGCCTGAGATCGCGTTGGGAGAATCAGATTTAGATTGCGGGATTGTATTCGTCAGTGTGAAAGGATCAGGGAACATCACAGGCAAACATGAGAATCCTTAATGAACCCCTGATACGCACGGCAATTCACTCGCACCATTGCCGCCGACTCGCGAAAGATTCCCGATGTCACAGACAGGAGCTCTCTGCTTGAAAGAAAGATCAAAGAGGGCAAGCAGGAACGGGTTTTGGAGCGAGGCAAACGCCGTCGCCGACAGCCTACCTCAGCACGGCTCGGCGAATCACGCCTGGCAACACGCCTTCTTCCAACGCCGCCGTCTGCACTACCAAACCATTCCAGCGATTCTTCTTGGCGTAGCCCTCCCCATCCTTCCCACTTTCAACCGGTCCAGCACCTTCCGTCTCTTTGGCATCATCCGCCTTTTTAGCACCCTCCGTGTCTCTCCTAGGCGTGTCTCCGCTCAGCATGTGTTGCTCTAAAGGCGACGTTTCTGCGTCTAAAAGGACCGTTTCTGCGTCTGTCTTCGAAGAGGCCCTGTTGGCACCCCCTGTCCTCCTCCGCACCACGAAGAAGTTGGTCAACAGGCCCTCGAGCAGGGCCTCGCCGTCGTTGGACAGCAAAACCTCGCCAACGTCAGGGGGTTTGGGGGCTTCGAGCGGCCGCCGGTCGATCGCCCATGACGAATCCTAGCAGGGGGACGTACAAAATAGGGTGAAGTCATTGCCACAATCGTTTTCTTGGTCTGAAAGAAGGTTAAGGGGTCACTTAAGGAACACAGAGGGTCCGAAAGGGGTCTGTAGAAGGCCATACGCGGATGGAAGGGTTTTGACGTCACTCTCTCCGTTTTCCAATTGATTCAATGGCGCCTTGAAAGCTGACTCGTTTGCTGGCTTTGTAGAAGACTCCCGGCAAGAGTCCCACCGACCGTCAGCATTCTGTTCTTTCATTCAAAAACTCATAAGAAGATGCATAGAGGACTTCAAATGAGAGTTCCAGGATTTGCGAAACTGCTCCCCAATCTTTCAGTGTCTTGAACGGCCCTTCGAAAGCTGACTCGTTTCGTGAGCGTCTGGGTAATTGACCTCTCAGCTTTGGACCATCTGCCACAATCATGTCAGACTTTGCGGGCTTGTACGGAGTCGATAGCCCAGGCATTCTTTGCAACTCGTCCTCAGACACACACTGTTTTCTTTTTCTTCATTTGCACCAATGGCGCTTCCATTTCGCTTCTAGACCTTCGCAGGGAAGGGCACAAGTGAGCGACGCAGTTATAATTCCAAAGATGTTTCTTCGCAGAAGATCCGCGTTCCAGCAACTGAGCTTCTTAAAGGAACCTTGCAGTTGACAGAAGGTGAAGTGTGGATTCGTTACACCTACCTTTGCAGCGGGCATCTGTCTACCGGGACCCATCACTGCAACCGTCGTCCCTTGAGGCATGCTTCCTCCCGTCGGGGCTTCGTATTTCGAAACGTAAACGCAGGCCTTGACCTCTCCCTCAATCTTAGCGCCCCTTCCTTTCCTCATCTCCCTTTTCGCTAGGTCATTCTCCGACAGAGCATCTGGTGTCAAGCTGGCTGCTTGCTGATCTGGACGAACAATCCTAACACTGTCCAAATCATAACTAGCACTCTCATTTCTCTTGCTGTCCCGCTTTTGACTAGCCAGCTTCGAATTTTCGATCCGTTGGGCAGCTATTGAGAGTTGCTCTTTGTGTGGAGATGCATCTGCCGGTCGCTTGCTGGTGCTAGGACCTGGTAGAAGGATGGTGACAGACAGCTCATGGGTGGTCGCCGAATCTAAGTGAAAAGTAGCCTGTCGAAGGGCGACCTCCAGAGACGGCTGGATCAAACGGTGCAACTGCATGGGTTGACGAGAGGAGTTCAGCAAAACTTCCCAAGTGCGACCTTGACTGTTGGTCTCTTCCCTTCCATCTGGCAACTCTATAACCGCCCAATGAATCCAAGTAACGTACGCGATATGAATGTGGCCTTGAACGTGTCATAACCACCTTATCAACGATCTAGACAGGGAGCAATCACGTACAATCTAAAGAGCATCTCTCATCGAACTCTTGAAAGCATTGGCTCAAACATTCAAATGAGACTTGCAGAATGTGAGTCAGATTGGTCAAACGTACAATGAACAAGACAGAGCCTCAACCTGCCTACTCAGACCTTTGGCCAAGATGGAACAGTCTTCACAGTCCAGTTCGATCCTTCCCCCTTGTCTCAGCCTCGTTTACTTCCAAGGCCTTGATTCCTCACCTCAATGACTGCTCTGGCATACAATGCACTGCAACCCCATAACTATACATTCCACAGACAAGCTAGATGGTGCTCAACCAACTTGGTTGACTTTCCAATCTGATCTGTGGTCCATTTTTTGAGGCCTTGACCCTTAACAGACTCCCACTGAGAATGCCCCTACCTGCTCAGGGGCCAAGTTATCTTCAGCCCCTTCCCATTTACCAGCGGCCTGCATTACACGCGCTGATTGCGCAAGTCGCTCAACATGCGCCCCCCAGAAGAGGAGGTGACAACGGCCCCCATAAGTCCTGGTTGTTGTGTAAGGACCTGTGAAGGAGGAGGGCACAGAAATCTATACGGGAAATCAAGTGGCTCTAGCCAACTGTGGATTTGCCTGATAGACAGCTTCAGAGCAAGTTTTCTGGTGTGGTGTCAAGAGTGAACCTTTGGCTGTGAATGATGAATGGCAGTTCCAATCATCGACAGGGAAGATTGCAGAGTCCCATTCACGAGTCACATTCTTAAAGCGCCAAGGCTCAAAGGATTTGATTCAGGCGAGGCGTGAGGAAAACGAATCTCACAATCTTGGCGCCCGAGCTGCTGCAGCACCTCATCTTTGACAAGATGGTGCCGAGGGTGATAGCATGCTCCCAGATTTACGTTCATCCACAAACTTCTCTCTTCTTTCGCGGCAGCCCCCCTTGAATTGCCACACTTCTAGTCGCACCATACCGCAGTAAGGCAAGCAATGAACCTAGAACAGGCCGCCAAGCAGCCAGAAGATGTTGCTGTCTTTTGTTTGGGGTGGTACTTAGTGGATGCTATTTTCGGTGAATGCCGCTTTGGGGTAATCAGGCAGCACAGGATACTTTTGGCTGGGCCTTGTCAACGGCAAGAATGCGATCAGCTGGGACTTGTCAAGAGAAGAATGCGATCACAGAATTATCTATACGCAATTCACTGAACAAGCTTGAGGGGATTGCAACTTAACCCCTTGTCACTCGATGTAAGGCAGCAAAGATCATATCGAACATGGCAATGAGTGAGAGGGGGATGTAAGTCGAACAACTCACGCACATGAAGGGAACAAACGCAGAAAATCTGAGGCAGATGGAGGAACGTCCACAGTGACCACCTCCCCATCAGTAACTAGAGTAGGTAGTTTTGCAGATTGCAGCGTCTCGTTGCGTGCACTCAGAGACTGCATTGTTCCCTCTGCAGTGGCCTGACAGATGCTCGTTTTTCTCATGCTCCCCCTTTCATCTGTAGGCAGGACAATGTGCAATCGCATCACTTTCACAATGCCGCATGGAAGGAAAGCCCCAGAGTATCTATGCTGAAAGCTGGTACGTCTACTTGATTTTTGCAAAAGTTGCTGCCTGAAATGAGGTGGAGATTCCCAACAAGCACATCCAGCCGTCGTTGTTGATGACGCCAGATGTGAAGGGCTTTGAATGGAGCACGGGAGTATTTTGCCAGCCGTTTTGTCTACTGAAGGAGCTGTGGCCACAGACATTGTTCACTGGAGTGCGCACGTCCGCCAGGTGCTGCTCACGATCACTGCAGTAGGGCTCCTAGCGCTGTATGGGTTCTGAAAACCTACCGTGGTAATACGCCAATAATGCAAGCGCCCAGCAGCAAAGACATTCTCCCAGCGTCTGCAAAGTCTGAAGTTTTCAATGTCGAGAATGCTGCATAATTACAGCATAATTACGTGGGCTGGCACTACTGCTGGCACCAGTGGAGCTTCCGTGTACGCTGAGGGGGATCCCTTCCGTCTTTGCTCGCTGTGAATCAGCAGACTTGCTTCCATTAAGTTGGACTACATGTTTTGAGATTCTGGCGAGCTTCGAGTACTCTGAGACAGGATTCACTTGTAAGGAGAACCGCTGCAGCTCGCGAGGCTCATGAGACCGTCTGGCCTGACATGAACTTCAGCTAGAGCTCTCATGCATGACGCGGCACGCCGCTATCACGGTTGCAAGCAAGTCCTGGACCGATTAACGAGCAATTGTATCCTATCATCCTAGTGGATCTTGATTCTCACAAATAACTCAATGCTTTTGCATGTAACGTCGTCCCTTTGCCATGAGGACCCAGCAACACTATTGGGTGCACACATGCCATGATCGACCGTTCAGTATTACATCGATTGACATATGCTAGGCGTGTCATGGGCGGTGTAAGCAAGCAGACTCAGTGACACTCGATGGTGCAGCGTGAGCCTTGGAAATAGCTTGATGGCATGCATGCTAATGCTATATTGGCGCTGCTAGCTTTGCATGCACGTTGCGGCGGCTGTTGAAGAGTCTCATGCACATGCCATGGGTGCAACCCATCGTAAACGTAACAGTTCAGTTATTGGTCCATGCTAAATTTATACAAGAAAATGAACGGAAGTTGATTTGAATCGAAGAAGAAGTCGTTGCCCTTGAAGGGACTCAACATTGGCTACCATCTGATGTTGCCAAAACTCCCAGACAGGAACGCATCACCTGGCTTGCTTTTGTTGAGGTTCCATAAAGGCTTCAAAAAGTACTTTTGAGATGCTAAAGTAAATGTCAGGATTACCCTCCGACACGACTGATTTGTGCCAGGTCCTTAAGGGACGGAACAAATATAATACTTTGCCAAATGCTTCTATGGCAAAACAGAATAGGTTCTGCTGCTACCTTGTGGCCGCTCGTCTTTGTGGCTTGTGCCAAATCTTCTCTCCAAAAACGGCTAGGACCGAAATGCAAGCACACCGCTGCTTCAGACCATCCCAAGTTGTACACATCTCGTAAGTTTGCCGCTGCTAGCACCTCTTATTAGGCGAGGCGCATCTCAACGAAGACATAGTACACAACCTTCGCAAATCTTGCACCCACACTGGAATATCTACACAGACCTGCACGGAGAAGCGAGCGTGATTTAGGTCTCAACCAACAAACATATTACAAGCGGAATCGACTTCAGAAACGGCAGACACGTAAACGTACATCACAAAAGGGCACCGACTAATCAATCGTGCCCAGTAGGAATGAGCAATGCTCACTTTCGAGTCAGCAATTCAGCCGCTGCAAGTACTTCATCGATCCTACCACGGATTGCCCGAAACATGCAAATTAAGCTAAAAACTCAACGCTTGATAGGCGGACGTACTGGTCCAGAAGGCTTCCTTTCTCGCTCTTTCTCGTACTGACATGCTGTTACATACATTCATAACATACTACAGCACTTCCCTCCTGTCTTCTCGTTCAAACCAATTCGTTGCAAGTGGGCTGATGCCGCTGAACGACCGCTCACCTTGACACGCCAGTGACGCTCCGCCTATGCTGCCACCTCGATTGGCCGGGGTATCTCCATGGACGACCGGGGGATTACACTGGGACTTAGCCCCAGAAGCGACCGAATAGGGGCCACCGCCTCCTTATCTGAGAAGGTCAGAATCTCGTCCACGCCGTTGCCTTGCTTCATCATGTCCACAAACTCCTCGTAATCAATGTTTCCATCCTGGAAGCGAAGATGGATTTGTGTGAGACTCGGAACCTAGCAATGCAGAGTAAAGCGTTCTAAACGTCCTTCAAGAAACTCCCAACTCTGGCAATGCAATGTAGACGCGTTCTTCAAGCCGTCCTCCAGAGGAGCAGAGACGAGACTAAAGAGTTGGAACTTGCCCTCACACCATACCGCCGAGCTCCTTGTTTGGGGCTCGATTGACACCCTTAAGCTCTGCTGATCCATAGCAGCGGAACTTGCGAAAGAACACAACCGCCTGCTACATAAATTCAGTTCAGACGGCGCTTCATTGACCGCTGCCAATCCTGAAAGGTCAGCTGTCACGAAACTGCACAAACTCCTTAAGGATTCACTGGTGAGGGCACCAAATATTAATTGCAGGTCTCACCTGATTTTGGTCCACCTCCTCAAAGATCTCCGCCACCTGCTCGTCCGACAGTCGACAGTGCAACTTGACGTCATCCTTCGTCAGGTAGCCCTTGTGCTCCTTGTCAAAGCGTGCGAACGCGCCCCGGAGCCACTCCTCCTTCTCGGTCTTGTCGTTCTTGTGCATCGTAACCGCAAGGAACTCGAGGTAGTCCATGCGCCCATCGCCATCCATGTCAGCCTAGAGAATATGAAGAAGATAATTCAATCACACTTGAAACTTTCTACCAACGATTATTGTTTGAGTGATAGCCAACCAGATGCACTCGCCTTGCAATTTGTACTTTTACGCACGGTGAACATGCGATGCCAATGTATATTTAAGAACCATTGCGGCCCGGCAAAAGGCATTCACGCCCAACTTTCATGGAGCTCAAACACGAGAAACAGAATCAAGTCTCTCGGAATAATGGGCGACTACGACACAGATATATCGTAAACGAGGATGCACTTGAATGAGGGCAAACCCTCACCGCAGCCAGCGTGGCGCGAACTTCCTCCTCGGTTGGCTCTGGGAAACCCTTCCCGGCGCGGGCCTTCCGCAGCCCCTCGAAGAAGCGCTCATAGTCTATGCAGTCGTCCTGGTCGGTCTCAAACTTGGCAAAGCATTCCTGCAAAGGATGACAAGAGACTTAAGTTGGTCTTCTCTAGAGCTGTGGCTAAATTCTTGACACTTGCGGCGACCGTGAGCTGCTTGTCAGGTGTTGATGGTAGGCAGGGGGACAAGAAGAAGGACATTCGTCGGAGTTGTGCATCAAGAAGGCCCATGTACTTGGAACCGATTGTGCTCCCTACATCAAGATGACCTGATGATCAGACACGAAACACCAATCAGGCCGTCACAAGATAGTAGATTAGCACTGCAGACCTTTTGTGGGTACATCGCAACGATGAATCCAACTCTCATAATATGAAGTTGTCCAGCTTACCATCTTACCATCGGTTTCCGCCTAAAACCTGCATCTATTGGTATCCTCTGCGGCTTTTGCATCCTCGTCAAGAATCAACCAAATTCAAGTTATCAACTGATTGACAGAGGGCTTACCTTTGACGCCTCCTGCATTTCCTTGGGCAGCTGGATTGCAATCTGGTGCATGGCCATCTGCTTGAGCCGGTGCATCTTCAAGAAGTTCTTCACCCGGACCTGGATCGAACAGCACGTCAGCCGGTGGGAGGCGGACCCGTCCACCTTGATCCATTCGTGCTCTGCAAGACCAAGGAAAGGTTGCAGATATTTAGCTGTGGACTCTTGACTAAGAAGAATGGTGACAAAACAGAGCCATTGCCTGAAGCTTTTAGATTGCTCAAACTATTGTACCCTCGCACGAGCTGGAAGACAAAAGTTCTTAGTCAACATACTGACTCAGTTAAGGTATTGCTCAGATGTGTAGCTCGTATCAAGTTGATGCGGTGCTGGAATGCGCCCTAGGTTGCAAGATGGTTAAACCTGCTTGCCAAAGAAGAAACAGCAGACATCAAGAGTATTGATGCTGGACAATTAATCAGTGCAGGAAGTAATGAAACGAAACCAACCAACAAACAACTCTGCCTGGCCTTGCTGACGCACTGGCGGGTTGATGTGCGGATGGACAAAGGAAAATTGGGAGAATGATAAAGACTTCGCCACTCCGCGGTTCTTTGCTCGCACCTTTTGTGATAGCCGTAAGCTCTTCCCAGTTTTGTGTGCGCAGGATGATGGTGAAAAGTCCTCGTGAATCTCTGAATGTGCTGGGGGACGGTGCCCCTATACTGCCGACTGATTTCTAGCTGATAAATGGACCTCCTTCTTCTATAGGTAAAACCCAAAGCGTCAAAGCCCCTCCCCCAGTAATCCCACTGACCTTGCAGCACCACGATATATTCTGCCCCCAACCCCAAACCAATCCAATGCCCCTTTCCCCTCAGACCATGACCGAGTTTCAGGTCTCCATTGACTCAGTTTTGTTGGGCTCAGGAGAGCAATTGATCCAATCGTGCGCTGCAGAAAAACAGGGTGGGGGCGGGGGTTCAGACTGGGAAAGATCTTGACAGGAACAAGTTTGACAATTTTGTAGAAAGCCGCCGTACCTGGCCCACTGCGTTCAAAGAGCTCCCACTCCAATAACGAGATAGTCAATGCGGGAGTTCTCAATGCCAGACGGAAGTCAGAAAGTATGTAACAGCAAAAAGTGGGTGGTACCTGCATTTGCAGAGACAAGGCCTCCAAATGACCTGCCAAAAACAACTGAAATCAATGAAAAAAGGAGGCTCAAATCAACTCCTTACCTAGAATCTCCTTGGCCGTTATCCGCCGCTTGGGGTCCATCGTCAGCATCTTCTTCACGAGGTCTTTCGCGGGTTCCGAAATCTGGGGCCAGGGATCCGACATCAAATCGACCTCGCCTTTGAGGACAGCCTCCATGATGCCCTTTTCAGAGTAGTGCCAGAAGGGGGGCATGCCACAGAGCAAGATGTAGAGGATCACGCCCGCGCTCCAGATGTCGCACTCGGGGCCGTATCGGTGCTTAAGCACTTCGGGCGCGACGTAATATGCGCTGCCGACGAGCTCATTGAAAACTTGACCTGCAGGGAAAGACAATGTGACAAAAGTGTGAGGACAACTCACCGGAGAAAAGAGGTGTGAGAAGTAGACTGTGAGGTCAACTAGGGGTGGCAGGGTTGCACGCGCTCCTTGATCGGCCAAAGGGAGAACGAGGGAGGAGTATGTGTAACAATGGGTGCAGTGAGCACAGCAAAGTTTAAACCAAGACACAATATGGTGGAGTGAGCAGCAGATGCTTTATTGCACATGAAGGGCGAGAGTAGAGTGCGGAATGCGAGGGCAAAAAGCTTGGGGAATCAAAGTTGCTAGCATGGGATTGAACCAAAATGCCCTGCCAGCTCAAACATCACAGATATCTCTGTAGTCTAATCAGTAACTTTTGCTACTATTGCTTCTCAATAAGCAGCTCGTTACATTGAACACTGTCATACACATTGTAACTCAACTTGAGCTCAACATATGACTGCGGGTACCAGAACTGCTTTTCTCAACCGACCAGCACTGACTTGCAAGAACAGGCAATACTTTGCGTCACCCCTGTTCATAAAAGATACAAAAACGAAGCACAAACTCTCATGTTATTAAGCAACAGTTAATCTCACGAAACCCGAAAGACATTTTGGATTAAGCATGCGGCCCTGCTCTATCCACACCTCCCCTGCGGTTGAAGGAGAAAAACTCTGAAGGGCAGTGCGTACGACACCCCTGCATGCAAATGCATCCTTATGACCCTTCACAAAGCACAGCTGAAGCAGCTTCTCCAGCTTGAGAATCCTCACCAGGCTTGAAGAAGATGGAGAGACCAAAGTCAATGGTTTTCAGCTCCGCATTGTCGCTGTCGTCAGAGAGGAGGAAGTTCTCGGGCTTGAGGTCTCGGTGGATCACGCCCCGCTCATGCATATACTGCACAATCTCAACCATCGTCCGCATGATCCCCGCCGCCTCATACTCGCTGTAGTACCCCCGCTTTGTGATGCGGTCGAACAGCATGCCGCCTGCACACAGCTCCATCACAAGATGCACATTCTCCTTGTCCTCAAATGCCTCAATGTACCGCACGATGTTCTTGTGCCCCGTCAGGTGCCGCAGGATCTCGATCTCGCGGTTCACGCTGTCAATATCGTTCTGCTTTGTCATGTACTTCTTGGGCAAGCACTTGACCGCGTACTCCAGCCCATCAACCTTGCTCTTTGCCACCCGGGTAATCCCAAACTGCCCCCGCCCAAGCTCCCTTCCCAGCTCATACTTGCTTTCTACGGGAACGGTCTGGTAACCAAGGATGTTCTCTTTACTACTGCTCTTCTTCATCATGACGGGCGCGGCCACCGGCTTCTTGATCGGCGATGGCCGCTTGCCCAGCGACGATCCAAACACATCGATGTCATCAGAGTCAACTGATGCCGTTTTCTTGAGGCCTCGATTGCGGGCCCCAGTGTGCCCGGGGGACAAACAGTTCCCCATGTTGGCTCGTCAGTCGAGATCAGTTGATTGCAGAGCCAGAACAAGCAAAAGGAGGACGCCTGCGAATGTAGATCAGACGCAGGGGCAAAGAAGAGGGCGGATGAATGCGAGATCTAGGGCGGCTGCAAGCAAAACGTCGCCTCTCCTGCGCCTCTGAATATCTCTTCCTTCAAATAACGCCCGACGAACTTGAAGTTGGAGGTTGGCAATGGAAGCACATGTGGAAACCCTGGAATGTATGCGTGTCTTCCTGCCTGGAGATCCTCTCTTCCTGTCCTGGTTCTGGCGCAACCACGTTTCCCGTTCGGCAATTTCTAATTTATTCCTTTGACTTTTGCCCGGGAAATTTGTTGACCCGGTCAATGGACGTATCGTTACCGTCCCGTTCTTTGCTCGCCCGGGGAGTCAACACAGCACTTTGACGACTGAACTTTTCGGCGTCCCGATTGCTGCTGCTGAGAATCTGCGGCTGCCCGGGTACCGTTGACCCGGGCTCGCATTGGTTTCAAAATAACAGCTGTCAAACGCCAGGGGGTTGGAGGTTGCGATCCAAGTGGATTCGCGGCATGTGGCGGACCATGACCGCCGCGGTTAATTTCGACGAAAGTCGGTCTTCGAAACCGAGCGCTTCTGACCTTTATTGTCGAGCTGTTAGAAGTCACGAAGCCGTATGTGGTATTCGACGTTTGGATATGTAAGATGCACGGGGACCTGATGATGTCAGTGAAAGGTGCATACCCAAAGACGGGACCGATCACGTAATGGGACCGCTTACGTCAGCGTGGCTTCATGTGTTTTCTAGAGAAGGGTGCGATACCGTGCGGAACCAGGTGAATGATAGCTGACGTATTTCTGACAGCCGTCAGATCAATGCCGTTCGTACGGTTATAAGCCGTCGACATAGGTCAGAGAGCTCACAATAATATTTGCGTTTTTGCAACTGTGCAAAAAGTCAAAAATTGGTCAACGTTAACCAGGCGTAGGCGGTAGGCAAGGAATAATAGGTATTCATGGAGCAACTGGCTGTACTAACCCGTTGATGTCAACCCCCTAGGGCCTGGAGTCTACGGGTACCTAGTCAAATGTCCACATCGGTGGCACCTGAGAATTTGTCGAAGAAGTCAGCCGCTGCCGGGAGCAGCCGGGCGCTGCCGGAGTGGTCTTGCTGACGGCATGGTGGGTACGTTACCACCCTATCTGCCAGTTTCATGTTCCGCCGGGAACTTCGGTTGGTCGATCCTTTGGACCGTCCGGCGACCGGAACGCCCAATTTTTGAACGGCATGCACATTGCATATACTACCTAAAAGCACCCATGAGTGGACTCCTCGCGGCCAACAATGCACACTGCATGCTTGCAGACTTTCCGTATGATTTTGCGGCTGAATTTGGGAATCATGAGCTGAAGTTTCTGAGTGCTGTGCCATGTGCAATACATAAATGACTGTGAAGTGCAGCCTGCCTTGATGGAAAAGACTAATGAAGTTTTGCTTCAAAAAGGCTGCATGATGATGGCCGTAGTGGCCGCCACTGTTGACATTCATTTTCAACTTGAGATTGCTGGCATGTGCTTGACTTACGTGACCCACGCCGGCTAGCCTAGCGGCTTGAGTGAACCAAAATCAGCATGTTTGCAATTTGTAACATCGTCCACACATTCACTTTTACGGTCGAAGCATTTAGGAGATGAATCCCGCCAAAACACTTGCGCAAAATCATGCCAAGGTGACGTCCAGTGGGGCCGTTCGCTTGATGGGATCGTCCGATCGAGCAAGGCATTGTCATTGTCACCATGCTCAATCCCAAGAAAGGCAACGATGAATAAACCTCCATCAACGAATTGCACAGCTCTTTGCTTCACTAGCTCGCAACGTGCAAAAACGGCCACGCTAGGGTGCGGTCAGCTTGTATTTGCCAGATATCAGCAAACCATTCGCTTCATTTGCACCCCCGTCCGAGCAAGACCCCTACGGCTCCGCAAGTCTCCAGCACCGCCCCTGCCGCACGGCCTCTGCCTGATACTCTGCCTGTCTCTTGATCATTTCGCCAAAGCTATCCAGGACCCCCTCGATGTCGTCCACGAGCGCCGGCTCGATCAATTGGAGGGCCCACGCACCCGACTCCAGGGTCGACAGGTACTCTTTCTTGGGCTCCTTCCGCAAATTCCGGTAACGGCTGGTGCGCTTCCCGAGCGGCAGCTTGTACTGGGGCAGGCTGTGCAGCCACCCGTGCTCGTGGTACACCCGGGTCGCTTTCGACCAGGTACCGTCGATCAGGATCAGCTGGTCGGGAGGCGCCTCCGGAAACGCCATGGGCGCCCTCTCGGGACGGTTCTGGGTTTTCGGTTTGAGGGGCTCCGCAGCTTCTAAGGCGCCCAACTCTACGGCAGGGGTTGGCAGCGTTGCAGCGGCGTTCGAGGCTCTTCCGACGGATGAAAGGCAATCTTCTGAGGTTCCTAACGAGGCAGCCCCCAGCTGCTGAGTGACGTCATCGATGACGGCAGAACCGAAACCCTCAGTCGACTCGAGCGCAGCCCCGAGCTGCTTCTCGACTACCCCGGACATGCCCCCCGATTCGTTTGAGCTTCCACCAATATTGGACGCCCCGGGCAGCACATCGCAGCCCGTCGTCGCCGGGACCTTGTTATCCAAAGAGGGGAGGGCTGGCGAGAAGGGCGAGGACTGCACGGCGAGCCCCCAAAACTGGGCCGCCTCTAGTAAATCGACGGATTGTGGCCCCGGGAACAGGACGGCGGTGCCCGGAGTAAGCTCGATCCCCGGGGGGGGAGCGAACGTGGGGTATCGGACCTTGCGGCCTGACTTGTCGCGCTCCCATCGAACTTCCTGGACCTCGGGCTCTAGTTGCGCGGCGGTGATTGCTGGATCCAATAAGGACCCGTTTGCCTCCCCTGAGGCTCCGGACTCTGCTGGCAAAGAATCCCCCCCGAGAGGGATGCCAGCAACCTGGTCTAAAGCTTCCCCAGTCGAGCCCTTCCCGGGCGTGCTACCTGGCTTTTCACCTGTGGGCGCTTCCGAAGGTTTGTGCGACTCGATGCGTGCAGAAGCGGGTACAGGAGAACTTGCAGACAACTGGCTGACGCTGCTATTGGTGGGTGCGCTATCCAAGCTTAAGTCTCTGCTACTGGCCAAATCTTCCTTCCTGTTTTCGCTAGCATGCTCTGATGGACCTGGGGGAGTGTCGGCTGAAGTTGACGCATGCTCCTCCGCTCTTGCGAGTGCCCGCGCCCGTGCGCGCTCTTTCCGGGAGAAGGGAGGTTTCAACCAGGGCAGGCCTGAGCCCAACTCCTTGACAACCACCACCTCAACGTTCTCGAAACCCAGCTTGGCAAAGCGGACAGACCCCTGCAAAGGGAATCGCATAGTTCGGTCCTATATTGATGGAAGAATACTAAGCGAGACATGAAGCAAGCGTCTGACGCCAGTATAGATTGGTTAGCTGAAAGTTCGGAGGCAAGACACAAACAGGCAATCAACGATATGACAAACCAACCCCGGAGGATACGTATCCAGCAAGGCACCTGCCATGAACAAGATACCACAGACTCCCTGTGAAAAGCTTACAAAACTAGACACGAACGTGCTCGTTTCATTGACAATCAAGGAACCACTGACGCTAAGTTGTGCCAAAACGCATAGGCCACCAACTCATGGACCTGGCTCCATCAAGCTGCACTTTGTGAACTTGTAGTTGCTCTCTCACTTGCAGCAAGATGACACAATGGATAGTAACACAATGTTTAATTCCAAATATTACGTCAGCAAGCTGCTG